TGAGTTTCTTGCGCCACTTCTTCTCAGCACTGGCCCATTTATGTCCCGAAGCAGTGGTAGGGTTAATATTGGGACGTGTAAAAGTGCTTTTTAAAAGCCTATTTGCAAAAATAAATGAATTTTATTTTATACTTAATATTCTAATGGATTTACTGGGATGTAAGTTTTTTTCTGCCGTGTTGCTACGTGTTGCTACCGTCTAGTGTGGCAGGGATCTCTCAGATTAGCGCCTTTTTTGGCTTTTATTAACTGAATACGCAGTCCCATCAGCAAGTTTGAGCTCGCCGAAAACGCGCTATTCTGTAAAAACCCTAATAGTGACAATTTCTGAAATGATTTAGGGCTGATTTTTCAATCGTCTGATAACTTTTAACTGAAGAATAAGTTAGGCACATTGACAGTTTTAATATGGGAAATATGTCAAAATGACAAGTTTATTCTTCTTAGATATCTGACGATTGAAAAAACAGCCCTTATAGGAATTGTAATATAATTATTATACCGCACGATATTTTGAAAATGAACCCCAAACTTTATTATAACAAGAATGTAAGTCTAGAATAAATAGATAAGTTGCCTTTAGACATTTAAAAAAATTACAACTTAATAAACTGTCTTTTATTAATTTAAATATAGGTATAGGTAGGGACTTAAGATTTTGTAAAAAAATATTACTATCCGAATCCTGCACTTGGAGCCATTAGGGTATATTCTCATTAAGGCTGTTTTTAGAATCGCGCTGACCGCTCGCTGATTGTCGGCGCTGACAGAACAATATGTATGTAATTGAAGGGAACGTTCCTGAGTGACGCTGATCGCTCGGCGCCGACGCTTCATACATTTCGGCTATCAGCGCCGAAGGTCAGCTTGATTCTAAAACCAGCCTAATACGTGACTGTACATGACTCTTACACATAAAACTTTCTACTATAATCATACATAATGCATAATTCAAACCAATTTTTATTTACATAGTTTTCCACGTTCGATTGAGCAAACACACATACAACCTTTTTTATGTACAATTTATATAGTTCACTTTTCATATAGTTTAGTTAAATAAAAACTGCACGCAGGAAGATTTAATGAATGCTACTGACAACGCCACTCTTGTAGCGGAGTTTTGGGCTGGCACTGTGTAGGTTTGTTGTCGACACGACAAGAAGAAGAGTATTATTATAACAGTAGAACATCAAAACATTTTTCCCGTATAGGGTGGTATTTTACAGAAGTTAAAACCACAAAAGACGAAAAACATAATTTTACTTTAACGGCTTTTCAGTCTTGCCTGTAAAAGTAAATCGTTGACACAAAAACATCACCCGAACTTTTTGAGACGAATGTTCGCGCTCAAACATAAGTGATCTTACACCTTTACATTAATTTTTATACTATAGTCTGGTCTACGAGCACGTAGAATCTTGTCCAATGGCCCCAAGCTACCCATCCTTATCGCTCGCGCGTAATTATGTTGCTGTCGCGCTCGCACACTCACTGCGGGCGCCCGTCGCACAGTCGCGACAGCAATACACCACTAAATTTTTATCACCGAAAAAATTTAAACAGGTTATGTAGAAACGTGTGGAATATTGAAAGCAAAAGAAAAAGAAATGGTTTTCATGAAGTTAATTTTTTTATTAAATTTTACAGCTGGGTCACTCCGCTGCTCGCTAGAGTAGTCGTACGCGCTCGCATATTGCCTCCATCTGTCTGTCTCGCTCACGCCTCGACCACGCTTCCAGTGTTATTATTACATACTTAGCTAACTTAGACCATTTTGAATTCTAATAAGTGTTACATTATCGTACGTAAATAGTGCTCGCGACGCGTGTGTCAATAAATTACCAATTTTAAGAGGATATTTTGAGTCGCTTTATTTTACTCTTTTTTTTGCACAAATGGGATCAGTATCAATAACTCATTACCCAGAATTTTTTTTTTCGGTGATTAAAATTTAGTGGTGTATAATTACGCGCGAGCGATAAGGATGGGTAGCTTGGGGTCATTGGACAAAATTCTACGTGCTCACAGACCGGGCTTTATACAGTCTCAATTTCAAACAGCTAGTTTGTGACTGGAAAACTTCCTGCCAGCGCAATATTATTCAGTTATATGTGCGCATTTTTACACTATTTATTCAACATTATAAAACTTAAATTATATCTGTTACCGTAAAATTGTAAATTCCGTCAAATTATAAACTGACGTTTGATTACAAGCTAACCTTTTTTTTGGGAATAAATGCATTGCATTGCATACCTACCCTGCGGGGACAGAGTAGATTATTTGGGGCTCACCATGTCAGAAGGACGAGGCATACCCACTAAAAAGACCCCGGTGATCCGTCATTCGCCTTAAGTGGGAAGGAACTGTGGGTTTCAGCACAAAGCCTTCACTACCACAGTTTGCAATATAACCTAACCTGTTAGTAACACACTGTTAGTTTACAATCTCACTCGTCTATATTAATAATTTCGTCAAGGGGTACGGTAGACTGGATCGAAACCTTATATGAATAACAAAGCATAAAAAAATATCGATTTTGAGTCGACAACATATATCCGCAAAATTCGGATAATGGAGAATTTCGTTAAATTCCGATGGCACTGACAAACACTTTCAAACAAACCGCTGTCGCCATCTTTAGTAGTTCACTATCCACTCACTATGCGATCAGCGCCAAAACCTTACTACCTCTTTGCTGGGTTGTCATCGATCCATAAATAAATGGAGATCAGTGCGTTTCGCGATTTTTATGATACACTCTTTGTTATGTGTTTTTTCTTTTATAGCCTGACCAGGAACATAAAAACCCTGGCATAGTGGCGCGTCAATTGCATTTGATAGTGCAACACTGAGTACAGTCGTACCTGTGTTAAATTAATAGGCTAACTTTATGTATCAGGATTCAGGATTACGGGCTAATTTGATATTTTCATAAATTAACGAAAAAATATTATTATAGGTAACCTGATTTAAATAAATTGAATGAAACCATCAATCGAGCTAGTAGAATTTGTTTTATTATTCATCAATAATCAAATTCAGAACTTGAATATTCAACTGCAATGTCTGCTCATGAACGCTTCAAACTCGGTACTTCTTTCCCAATCCCATAAAATTCAACACTTAGAAAGTGAAAAATTTTTAAAATAGGTAGTTGAAACAAACCACAGCTAATTTTCATAGTGGACTGTACTATACGATAAACATGTCAGTCAATTTGACAACCTTTGTCGGAAACATTATTCAATGAAAATATTGTCCAAACCCTTAGTATTTCTCTTCGACAAATACTTTAACACATTGTGAACCACTTTTCTTTCACGACTATAAAAACATAACCTATATTAACGATTGAATTTGATTGTTTTGTTAATTTGTCTTAGTTTATTTTGACTGGTGATTTAAAATTAAAATAATTTGTGTAAAAACTTTTGAAGTTTTTATTTACCATATTAATAAACACAACTAACGAAGCTATATGAATCTATATTTAATATTCTTTGAGAACCGATGACTACAGAAACATCTATCTACATTTTGCACCTAGAATTGTGTATTATGAGTCAAATTTCACCCGAGCGAAGCCGGGTTTTCATCTAGTTATATTATAAACTGACGGAGTTCACAATTTCACGTTGACATTGACATTGTGGATGTCAATGTATGAGACACACACCGGTGTCATATAAAGGTCGTACGCCCCGCGTACGCCCCAAATCGATATACCTTTACTCGTGTTATCAATAAAATGTACAAAATTTTATTCGTCTATTCTACTTTTGTCTCTGGACTCACGTTACAGATGTGTCGGTGTCATACAAAAGCCCGAACGCCCCACATAAATGTGAACACACCTTTATTCGTGTTACCAATAAAATGTACAAAATTGTATTTTTTATTTTACTTTTGTTTCTGAACTCACGTTACACAGTACACACTCACTACACAGTTGTGTCAGTGTCATACAAAGGCCGTACGCGCGTACGCCCCACATCAATGTGAACACACCTTTACTCGTGATACCAATAAAATGTACAAAATTTTATTTTCTCTAATTTTATCTCTGGACTCACGTTAAACAGTATACACTGTAAATAGTTGTATATTCACATGTATATCCTTCGGAGGTGTTGTGATGTGGTGATGGCGTTACACTGAGGGCATATCTTCTTTGCTTTTAGAGACTGAAGCCAGCAAACCTGAAATAAAACAAGAACATGTTTAATTATCTTTTGTATAACTATTCCCACCTCTCGTTCCCACCGCTGCAACTCCTGTGCAGCCAGGATCTACAGCTTGACCGTCACCCAACCAGTGAAGGTCAAGTTTGTCCCGGGGGAAAGTTAACTGTCATTGGACCCGCGACGAAATTAGTCAGAAGAACATAGGAGGAGTTCGAAATTAAGGTTCGACTTCCTATGTTGCAAAGCGGATGACAGTGACAAACAAAGGTTTAGTAACTTTTAAGAAAAGATATGCACCACGGACAATAAATATCAATTAGGGAGACCTATCTAATAGTGTAAGATCCGAACTAAAGCCCGGTCTGTGAGCACGTAGAGTTTTGTCCAATGACCCCAAGCTACCCATCCTTATCGCTCGCGCGTAATTATATTGCTGTCGCGACTGTGCGACGGGCGCCCGCAGTGAGTGTGCGAGCGCGACAGCAACATAATTACGCGCGAGCGATAAGGATGGGTAGCTTGGGGTCATTGGACAAAATTCTACGTGCTCGCAGACCAGATTATAGTGGAGATTTTGCATCATTTGTTGATTCAATGAAACGCATTTTAAATCAGTTTTAGCATGTTAAAGAATGTCGCGCTTGGGTTGATAATTTTCAAGCCAGTCTGCTTGTGACCACATATACACGTGAAACGTCATTCAGGCCGTGAGTACATAATGTAACTCATTCATTTTTTTATCCACAACGAGGAAGGTCTTGGCCTGTATCTCACCTGATGGTAAGTGACGATCAGGCCGAAGGTGGAAGCGAGCTTCACCCGGAATCCTCAACCACGGAGGAACTGGCTATCTTACCTCTAACTGCCGGAACACAATGCTGTTAACATTGTTGTTATGGCGACAGACTTAGGTAAGATGCTGGTAGCTAGCCAGGCGGACTTAGAACAAGCCCTACCACCAACCAAACCGAAAAGAAAAATCTGTATCTGAATCCACTACACCCAACCATAGGTCGCTGGTTCATATCCGGCTCGAAGGACCAATGTAAAGAGCAGGGCTTCTTTATTCTAAAATTGTAGGCGCTGATGAATTTCACAATTTTATTGAAAACTTTCAAGTAATAGCACATTGCACATTCGTTGCACACATAGACAAGAAAAGTCTTAGTTGCTAGAGTAAAAAATACACATTTTTATTCGATGTTGCCAACAGGAATCGAACCCGGGACCTCTGCGTCTGAAGCAGGTGGTCTTACCACTAGAACACAGAGGCGGTTTCTTTCTATGTAAGATGATGATGATTATGATTGACAACTCACCTCACAATACACGTGCCAGCATTGTATCGAGACGGCGGGCGACACGTAGGCACCGAGACAGATCAGGCATTTTGACTGAAAACCAGAAAAATATTTACTATAAAGTAATAAGTTGTGAGTAAAGAAATTTATGATACGCAGCGTGGGACGTCCACCCACAAGGTGGACCGATGACATCGTAAAGGTAGCAGGGAAGCGCTGGACGCAGGCCGCTACCAACCAGGTAACATGGAAAGCATTGGGGGAGGCTTATGTTCAGCAGTGGACGTCCTATGGCTGAGATGATGATGATTAAAGATATTTATTCAAATGTAGGCCCTTTCCAGGGCGCTTATACACGTCTTAATATAGCTTGCCCTACCACCACTTCGGGACAACATTATGGGCTGGTGCTGAGAAGAAGTGACGGAAGAAACTTTGTCAAGTATTAGGAGAGCAGTTCTAATATTGGTTTAGCTAAAGCCTGGTCCGTGAGCACGTAGAATCCCGTCCAATGACCCCAAGCTACCCATCCGCTAGACATATACAACATATTGCCTACTAGCTAGACCAATATTAGAACTGCTCTCCTAATAGACAGTTTGACACCATACACCAATAATTCGAAACCACAACTTTTTTTAAAATACCCTTCATTCTGGTCTTAAAAACTTAATTAATTTTAAATTAACTGTAAATTACGATTTTTGGTCGCATTGTAATTGAAAAAAGTAGTTTAATTGAGTTGACAATATAGTGACGTCACTTGCTTGTAGTGCCATACAAAATCTATGGGAGAGTTTTCGTTTTCTGGTGGTGTCAACATGTCTATCTATACTTGACAAACTATCTTTCGCCACATCTCAGCACCTACCTATAAGAATTATATTAGAAAATAAATAAAGTAAAACATTTCTCACCTCTGAAGCTCCATTCTGTTTCTTCTCCAATTCTTTTATTTTCGCTTTCAAAGCCTGTATTCTTGTCTGAAAGAAAAAGTCATTTTATATTATCAAACTGCAAAATATTCAATGTGCGCGAGTTAACTATGCACAGCGACAAGCGACATCTATTGTCATGTTTGTAAACTATTGCCTTGGGAGATTTTCACAATTGTTCAATTTCTGATTCGATCTTGTAAAGAAACACTGAGCATAGCCCTCTCCATAGCACGCTGTGTAAATTTTGACTAATTTATAAGGCCTATATTGAGAGGCCACGTTTCCGAGCCGTACCAGTGATGATGATATGATCATCACTAGTAACACACACTGAACACTATGCTTCTACAGGGTGTTTCTTGTAAGGTGTCAAGCCGAAGGCAGGTGATAGGTGAGGACTAGACCTATCGATTTCACCCCCATGTATGTTTTACGATTTTTCATAGTTTAGAAGTTATCGTCAATTTTGTGATTTTTTCAAATTGTATGACCCAGTAGGCTTTAAATTTTTTTATCTTTTTTTTGGGTCGACTTTTCTCAGATTTCTTTTTTTTTGACAGATTCCCTATGAATTGCAGATTTTTGAAATAAATAATCAACTTCCTATCTTTGATGCAAGATACAAAATTTTTGCTAGAAACATAAAAAATATGCTATTAGCGGAACATTCTAAAATTTTCAACTTAAAAGTTAAAAAAAAAGAAGAAATTCCATAGGTCCAAAATAATTTTAAAAACTGCGCAGTTTTCTGAACTTTCATAATAACACAAAAAAACATGTACTTAATAGGCCATTATTTTCTGTAATCGCTCCACTAATGTGGTAAGTCGGAGATTCCGTTACATGTTTTTGACTTTCTTAGGACTAACTAATGATTGCAATTCTCTAAGTTTACGTTACTTAGAACACATTTAAAGACAATAACTGAACAGAACATTTTTTTATCCACAACGAGGAATCTCTTGCCCTTCATCTGACCTGATGAAAACTGATGGATGATCAGCGAGCTTCACTCGGAATCCTAAACCACAGAGGAATTGGCTGTCCTAAATAGGTGGCCTTACCACTAGACCACGATTACAGAAAATAATGGCCTATTAAGTACATGTTTTTCTGTGTTATTATGAAAGTTCAGAAAACTGCGCAGTTTTTAAAATTATTTTGGACCTATGGAATTTTGTTTTTTTAACTTTTAAGTTGAAAATTTTAGAATGTTCCGCTAAAAGCATATTTTTTTATGTTTCTAGCAAAAAATTTGTATCTTGCATCAAAGATAGGAAGTTGATTATTTTTTTTCAATAATCTGCAATTCATAGGGAATCTGTCAAAAAAAAAAAGAAATCTGAGAAAAGTCGACCCAAAAAAAAGATAAAAAAATTTAAAGCCTACTAGGTCATACAATTTGAAAAAATCACAAAATTAACGATAACTTCTAAACTATGAAAAATCGTAAAACATACATGGGGGTGAAATCGATAGGTCTAGTCCTCACCTATCACCTGCCTTCGGCTTGACACCTTACAAGAAACACCCTGTATAATAAAGATAAATAAATAAATAAAATACATGGCCTGGGCCCCGATTGTGCTAATTTATAATGTCTCCAATACATTCGCGTTTCATATCTAGGCCACACCAAATTCACACTCCATTTTCATTCCAGCTGAAGTGCAATTCGGTATCGCGGTAAAGTTCACGCGCAAACAAAGACGAAACAACGGATTAAAGTACTTTCCATTAAAAGTCCGAACACCTTATTTTTTCACTAAAACACAGCAAATGTTCGTGAAGCGTTTGACTTGCGTTTGAGATAAAGTAGCTTTCTGTCAGCTTTTACACAAAGACGCAAATTGCGTTCCGTTCCGTTACAGCTTCGTTTTAACTAGCTGTCAAAGCGACACCGCGATACGAAGTAGTATTTAATTTTATAATTTTAATGTTTATTTGATTTTATAATTTTAATGTTTATTTAATTTTATTTTAGTTTGACAAATAATTCTCTATTTTAATGTTATTTTTAAGTTTTTGCAACGCCTTCACTGGGCGTCACATGTTCAATATTATGTTCTTGTCAACCCTTACCCATGTGACATGCAATAAATAATTTGAATTTGACGAATTAGTGCAAACAGCTGAATTTCGTTCGTCGATGACTTGACGATGGTGGTGCTTACCTCAGCGCTGGCCATGACCATTCCATTGTGTTTGGAGCTCTCTTTGGGCTCCGTTGGTGGCTCGTCTTCCGTCTCCGCTGGTGGAGGTTCCTCTGACGTTGGTTCTTCTGGTGCTGGGATTTCTGACTGGAATATACAAATTGACGTTTATTTTCAACCGACTTCAAAAAAGGAGGAGGTTCTCAATTCGACCCGTATGTTTTTTTTTTCTATGTTTGTTACGCGATAACTCCGCCAATTATGAACCGATTTGAACAAATCTTTTTTCGGCGTATAGGTAATACCTCAAGGATGGTCCCATTTAAATTTAATAATAGAAAAAACAACCCCCAAGGGTGGAAAATTGGGGATGAACTTTTTTATACGCAATATCTCCGCCGATTATAAATCAATTTGAACGATTTTTTTTTGTTGAATAGGTATTATCAAAAGGGTGGTTTCATGCGAATTTGAAGAAAATATTTCACCCCCAAGGGTGGAAAATTGGGGATGAACTTTTTTATACGCAATATTTTTTATTTTTAGTTTTTTTTTTGTGTTCACGCATTTGAAGTCGGTTTTATTTTTTTTTAAAGTTAATTATATTGTACCTTCTTTATGCTTTATTCTTGAGCTAGTTACAGTAGAATCCCGATTAAACGATACAAATAAAACTAGGGGAATTCCGTTTTATTGAATTCAAAGTCAAACAATAAATAATAATTAATAAGTTTTTCATTGAACGGGTTTTACAATCGTCATTTAGACCAATGAGTGAATCCATTTCTTTTAATTCTGATTTCAATACTGGTAAAATATAAACATTAAAGTAAACATACATCATTCGCTGTATTTTAGACATTCAATGATAAACGCCCGTATTCACAAACATTACTAAGAGGTCTCACAGTGCGCGTGGACGCACAGGGTGACACAAGAACCAATCACAGAGCTCTATTCAACGATTTGCTGCTCCACTTAAGGCCGGGTAGCAGAGAAAATGGCGAAAATGAGGTTTTCATTTTTCATTTTTGAGGTACTAAACAGTAAAATTAAAGGCTAAGATTTTTATTGGGCATAGTTGAGGATATTTTCTAGGGCTATTAACGGATGGAAACACGATTTGATTAAGTTGACTCGATAAAATAAATTCCCAAAGTTACCTCTATTCGTTTTCTAATTATGGTTTTATTTTTAAAATAAGCGTACCCTTTCGAATTCAAGACAGTGCAGTTTCCCATCAAAATCTGCTTCGTAATGACTATAAACAAAGCTCAAAGTCAAACTCTAGCGACCTCTGCATAAACTCCCATGAGTGCTCAGAGCGGGTGCCTGCGGCAGGTAACCGCGTGTGATGCTCATAGTGATTTTCAATACAGAGCCCCGTACATACGTTATACATAAATTATGGAAAGAAAACACCCAGACCAATACAAAAAAATATGTATGCAATTTTAGTATGATATTTTTATTTATTAATAAACAAAAAGACTGAACAAAATTGATGCGTGTACTGATTAATGTAATTAACCACACGCAAAGTTTCGTGAGTTGCAACAACTATAATTTATTATCCAAGCTCTAAATAATCGCTACTAAGAGTAACTGATCATAAAATGTTTTTCCAATCGCTCAAGCTCCCGAGGACCTAACGATAGGTCGGGTGACGTAATCTTGAAAATTCCGGAAGTTCGGGTGACGCCACGCCTCTTTGAACCGTGTTTACTTTGGCAGTTATATTTTATGTTTATTCGATTCTAAAATATATTCCCGAAAATTCTGAAAGTTGTTTTAATTTGTATCACTTGGATATGATTTGTATTAGAAAGTGCTATGAGTGTGACGCTTGAACGGAAGGAAGTCAACCTAACCTAACCAACTGGTATTTCTATGCTGTGTAGCCGCGAGAGCTCTTTGGCGCGCTGTTTTCGGCGAAGTATTGCGCGCGCAGATTTTGACAGCGCGAAATACCTACTTTAGCAGAAATACCAAGCCTTAAGCAAGCATCGTTTGTGAATACGGGTTAAAATAACTTACATCGGGTGCTATCCTGGACGGGGAGTATTGGGGAGGGCCGTAGAGTTCGGTGTCTTCATCGCCGTCTACCACCTGTAAATAGACATTATAGAATGATGTATGAAATTCAAAAAAAGCTATGGAATAATCTCTGGATCTCTTCAGTCACGTCTGTGTGACGTCATCCATATTAAACCAGTGTGAGTGTAAGAGAAAACGTGCCTACTGTACACCGTCTGTCAAAGCGATTGACGGGCGGTCGCAGTGAGTGTGCGAGCGCGACAGCAATATAATTACACGCGTGCGATAAGAATGGGTAGCTTGGGGTCATTGGACGAAATTCTATCTGCTTCGCGACCGGACTTTGGGCGAGATTGCAGCTGTGTTCTCTGCCTCCCCTGGGTAAGCCCATGGGATACGTGCGCTCATAAGCCTAAAATTCACTTACCAATGCGTGGTCGTGCGACGCGCGTCGTACAGTAGTGGCGGCGCGTGCTTCTGAATCTTGGAGCGCTAAAAAGTCATCTTGGCCTATAAGTTGGTAGAAGCGACTTACCAATGCGTGATCGTGCTGTGGCACGCCTTGTGGTAGCGCTCTCTCTCTCACTCAAAATCAAAAATATTTATTCAGTTTAGACCACAAGTGGCACTTATGACCACAAGTGGCACTCACCAGCGCACAGCGCACTCTCTCTCTCTCTCACTTACCAATGCGTGGTCGTGCGATGCGCGTCGTACAGTAGTGGCGGCGCGTGCTTCTGAATCCTGAAGTGCGGCGGCGCGCACTCGCCACGATCCACACCACTGGTACTCAGCGCCGAAGCCGCTTGGCGAGTCGTTCTGTGGACAGATGGACCACTTATTAGTAGGGCAAAGTTTTTTAAAGTAAAGCCGGGTCTTTTTTTTTTATACACAACGAGGAAGCTCTTGGGCCTGTATCTCACCTGATGGTAAGTGATGATCAGGCCAAAGGTGGAAGCGAGCTTCACCCGGAATCCTCGACCACGGAGGAACTGGCTATCTTACGTCTAACTGACGGAACACAACAATGCTGTTAACAATGTTGTTATGGCGACAGACTTAGGTAAGATGGTGGTAGCTAGCCAGGCGGACTTAGAACAAGCCCTACCACCAACCAAACCGAACAGAAAAATCTGCACCCACTGGGAATCGAACCTGGGACGTCTGCGTCTGAAGCAGGTGGTCTTACCACTAGACCACAGAGGCGGTCTCCAGCGACTGTTTTTTTTGTTGAATGTTAGGGCAAAACACGCGTTGGAGAACCGGATTTAAGTACGCAAACTCACAGGACCAGTGAATAAATCAATAAAAAGACTATAATAACCTATGTAAAGTCAAGCATAAAATGTTCTTAGAATACTCTTTTTTATGAATAAACTATCATTTACTCTTATTTTTTGTGATTGGATGAACCTATGTACTAGAAAATCAGCAGGAAGGTGCTGGATGCAGGCCGCTGCCAACCGGGCGATGTGGAAGTCATTGGGGGAGGCCTATGTTCAGCAGTGGACGTCCTGTGGCCGAAATGATGATGACTAGAAAATCTGATGTTTGGGGCTTACAAGTGACACCATGATGTTCGATGTTTTAAATAATACTATACTTATAAAATGTTACATCGCAAAACCGAGTTAGGTAATATGCGAGCATCAAGACTCCATAACCAATATGGGGAGTGTAGATCAAACCCTATTTACATCTCGTGCTCTTCCAGTGAAGACTAAGGCTGGTTTTAGAGTCAAGCTGACGCACGCTGACCGTCAGCGCTGACAGCCGAAATGTATGAAGCGTCGGCGCCGAGCGATCAGCGTCACTCAGGAACGTTCCCTTCAATTACATACATATTGATCTGTCACAGCGCCGACGATCAGCGAACGGTCAGCGCGATTCTAAAACCGGCCTAAATGATGATGACCCTCACCTCAACGTCAATGCTGCTTTCCTCCGAGCTCGTATCAGGCACGTCCTCATCCATCACCGATTTTTCTGTTCCATGTCCGCCTGGCTAGCTACCACCATCTTACGTAAGTCTGTCGCCATAACAACAATGTGAACAGTGAACAGCATTGTTGTGTTCCGGCAGTTAGAGGTAAGATAGCCAGTTCCTCAGTGGTTGAGGATTCCGGGTGAAGCTCGCTTCCACCTTCGGCCTGATTATCACTTACCATCAGGTGAGATACAGGCCAAGAGCTTCCTCGTTGTGGATAATAAAAAAAAATCTCGGCTGGGCAGCGTTTGGGAAGCTACATAGCATCTTTTCGTCCAAAATACCTCAATGCCTCAAGGCGAAAGTCTGTAACCAGTGATGACATACGGCTCCGAAACGTGGCCTCTCACTATAGGCCTCATAAAGAAGCTCAAAGTTTCACAGCGTGCTTTGGACGTTGGTAACGTAGCGTTGAAAACCAGACACTCGTTAATAACTATGACAATCGATGATGATCCTTACCTCCACGTCAATGCTGCCTTCCTCCGAGCTTGTATCAGGAACATCCTCATCCATGACCGCCCCAGTCCTTTTCAAACACCGTAGCGCGTGTCTCTGTAGCCGGGACGTTGGTAGCGTAGCGTTGCAGACGGGACATTCACCACGGGACATTTAACCGCCTCTGTGGTCTAGTGGTAAGACCACCTGCTCCAGACGCAGAGGTCCCGGGTTCGATTCCCAGTGGGGGCAGATTTTCCTGTTCCAAGTCTGCCTGGGTAGCTACAACCATCTTACCTAAGTATGTCGCCATAACAACAATATTAACAGCATTGTTGTGTTCTGCCAGTTAGTGGTAAGATAGCCAGTTCCTCCGTGGTTGAGGATTCCTGGTGAAGCTCGCTTCCACCCTTCGTTGTAGATAAAAAAAAATTTGCTAATAACTATGACAATCGATGATGATCCTTACCTCAACGTCAATGCTGCCTTCCTCCGAGCTTGTATCAGGAACATCCTCATCCATGACCGCCCCAGTCCTTTTCAAACATCGCAGAGCATGTCTTTGTAACCGGGACGTTGGTAGCGTAGCGTTGCAGACGGGACATTCGCCTTGTTGTGGAGGCGGGGTGCTTCGCCTTCGGGCTCGAAGTCGACGAAGACGGTTGGAGTGTACCCGCTGGAAATCAGGCTATGGTAAGCAGAGAGCTGCGGTGAATATGAGTGATGAAGTGGTAGTTAGTGATAGAAGTAAGGTTTAGAATTAGAAAGGATAAGAGTTGTATTGTGTTTAGGCACAGTATGGTAGCAGCAATAAAACTAGGTTTTTGATGAAATTAGAGTAAATCTATTCAGAGATACTTTTACAGTGTGAGAGTTGGATGGCAAGTGAACTACCTACATTATACAAGAATAAAAATCTATGGACGCGCCTATGTGTCGACACAAACACTTTCACGAGATCGTTGTTTTGCTGTTAGAAACCGCACAGGCGCGCGCCTGAACAAGAGTTATTTTAAACTACCCGCCCGCGGCTACGCCCACGTTAAATTTGAATAAAAACTATCCCATGTCCTTTCCTGAGACTCAAACTATCTCTATACCAAATTTTATCAAAATCGGTTCAGTGGTTTAGGAGTGAATTCGACACAGACAGAGTTACTTTCACATTTATAATATTAGTAAGGATCATTGTTGTTGTTGATGAGTAAAATTATTAGTTACCTACATTACTTTTAGAAGGCAACTTTGACTCAAAACAAAAAAAGATTTAATTTCCTTCTTCTTCTTTGGTTTATGGCGATGAACTTGCGTTTTTTCGCCACTGAGGGCACACTATTCCGCCAATTTTCCCACTGCTTCATAGCAATGTTAATAATCTACATATTTCAACAGGGCAATGTTAGATAGTGTTACTGATGACCATTTATATTTAGTTAGCTGTGAGATAGTTTGTGGCTGCAAGTTTGTGTGCTCAATTTCAATATTGTTGAGCCAAAGTTGCCCTCTAATGCTATAGTAACCCACATCTATGGTAGCACAAAGTTTATTTCAAATTGCATAGTTCCCACCACCAGTCAATTTGACATACTTCTTGTGAAATTGTGTAAATTCCCTATTTAAAGCAAATATAATGTGTAAAGATGACCCACGCTGAACTGTCCCACCAAAGTCAATAACAGGGGGGCGCTACCATTGTTCAACTACATGGTTTCCAACAGGTCAAAAATCAGAACCAGCGATCCGGTATTGACGGTGGTGCCCCGCTGTCAATGTCATGGATAGGACAGTTCAGTATTTTGGAACTATATCTGTATGATGAAGTATCAAAATGAAATGCATAAATATAGAAATATTGCTGCAAAAAGATTTATTTTGTTATTTGGGATTCTTGGTTGAAATGTTGGATGTAATATTTGGTGTCTGTAGCCTTTGGTTGAAAATTTTCTAAGTCCCAGAAGTGGTAAGATAAGATATACAAGAAACTGAAATGGGACTATGAAATTATTTGGTTAGTAACTATATGTTAATTAAGGTAGTATACCTAAACTAAGCAAAAACGTTTGCCTGTGTTTTAGGTATCCATACTTATTATGTAATGGTGAATAAATTTTAAAGTAAAAATGTATTTTTTTTTTCACTGTGAAATAGATTTTTAGGCTGCCCACAGTGCCCCTAAGGGTATACTCCAACTTGCCCCTAACTCTACCCTCTGACCCAATATTTACAAGGTGTTTTTTAATGTCTTCAGAAATCAGAGAGAAAAATTAAATAGAACAAAATAACCCTTTTTGGAACACAAAGATTACACATAAGTATTAGTAATTTATCTAAAATTCCTTGTGTATGGCCTCAAATCTAATTGGGACATTATGAAACTAATGAAAATAAATTATAATATTTACAAAACTAACCTGGTACACATCACTGCCTGGACACCCAGAGACATCGATTTCCTGGTCATCCTGCACATCAGAACTGGTACTCGACCCAGGTATCGCTAGACTTGACTGAGTCGCACTAAGTTTCCTTTTAGTTCCACCTCCAGACAACTTTTGTAATCTCTCAACTTCCAAAGACAAATGACTATCTAACTCCCCCTGCCGTATTGTACAACTGCATACAGGACAATTCGGCAATTCCGACACCTTTTTTCTATTTCTAACACAATTCAAAATAATACTTTCATCGTATACGCTCCCAAACGACGTATTCGGCGCGTTGTTCAACGAATTTGAGCCCCCATCCATATTATTATACAGAAGTATAGGTAACATTTCAGATTTGTTATTGTCGGGACCCTACAATAAATCTGCCGACATCACAACAATTATAACATAAAAACAACATTTAAGCACACTAATCGACAGGTAGAACTTCCACTTATCCGACACAACTTATCTTGCAATAATTTTTGGCCTAATACGAGTAATTAAAGCAATTAAACCAAACAAAACAATAATAAATAGATCGCTTCACACAACTTTTTTTTGACGATTTCAATTTAATGACATTTCGTCAACGACAAATATTTTACTAGTTTTTACATGAGCGTAATATTTTTTTACTTAGCGTCGTTTTTCATACTTGTCAGTATCATAATCGACCACGATATGAAAATGTGAAAAATACGTGTGCTAAGAACACGCCGCGACCAATCACATAGCGTTTAGTTCACCGTCAACTTGTAAAAATGTCATAAGCATTTTTGTAGTAAATTACGTTTTGTTCTATTAAAATTTGAAAATGTTTTCCTCTTTCATTTTAATAAGACAATGCAATGAATGATGAGAAAAATTGGCCCTCCAAACGAATTCTAATGTATCTAATTAGTCATAAGAAAATAATAAAATCCTACAAGTTTATTAATTACAAACTTAAAGTAGTAGTTAAATTGTATGGGAAACGATGAACTTAAACTGCAAACTTAAGTTGGTTTTTTACAGAGGAATAAGGTGGTGAGGATTCTTTTAGCACAATAAATATAAGTAATAAATCTTTTGCCAGTACTTGACGTTCACTGGTCGAGTTGTTCTGGCAGAATGAAGCTGTAGATCTTGGTTGACATTTCTGTGGTGGGAACGAAAAGTGGGAAGGGTCCAGCCCACAAGCCTTCCTAGACAAGTGGTATTTTTTGATCGCAGAAGTTTTAAAGTAAATAAAACAATTTTATAAACATTTATTTAACGTTTTTATGAGTATAATCTTATTGTAAGTGCGTGAATATAAATCTACGTGCTCTTAGTTCTTTATGGTTAATTTTAAGTATGTCTTACTTATTTTTATATCTAACATCGTAATTATCAAAAAGTTATTTATACTATAGTCTGGTCTGTGAGCACGTAGAATTTTGTCCAATGACCCCAAGCTACCTATCCTTGTCGCTCGCGCGTAATTATATTGCTGGCGCGACTGTGCAACGGGCGCCCGCAGTGAGTGTGCGAGCGCGACAGCAACATAATAACGCGCGAGTGATAAGGATGGGTAGCTAGGGGTCATTGGACAAAATACTACGTGCTCACAGACCAGGCTTTAACACTTTATAATCATTACATGGTCAAGTTTGATTTATTATAGACGACGATACATCAACCTCAACACTGTTACACATTAAATAATTTATTTAAACAAAAATGTCATCTACTGATCGAGTTAACTGCACACCAGGCAGCCGTGACGTCACATCGACGCTCTGTTAGGCCTCAGCCTCGAACTTAGCGGGCAGCGGGGCGGGAGAGGCGGCGGCGCGGCAGCGGCAGGATCTTACGCGTGAAATCAAATAGACCGGTTCTCGAAAACAGCGGCGCGGCAGCGGGCAACGAGCGGGCAGCGGCGCGGCAGCGGGCAACGAGCGGGCAGCGGCGAGGGAGCGGGTAACGAGCGGGCAGCGCACTCCTTCTTTTGCCCACAATAAATCGAGCGTTAGGAATAAATTTGAATCGAAATAAAATTGTCGCCGCTGTTCAGACATTTCGTTTGCGAATAAAAACAAATATCTCGACAACACAACCCCGAACACAACACTTCGCCGCTAAAGCGCCGCGCGAGCTGCCCGCTGGTTTCGAGAACGGGTCTGCGCTACCCGCCCCGCTCCCGCGCCGCCGCCGCCGCCGCCCCGCTGCCCGCTAAGTTCGAGGCTGAGGCCTTACGGACGGGGCGAGCGCGTGGTGTGCGTGTGCGAGGGAATCGCATTCCAGCGATGTGTGCAGTTAGCTTGATCGGGTTAGTCTGATGTGATGTCGTACGTTTTAATATTAGATAACTAGTTAACCCGGCGAACTTCGTACCGCCAATACTAGTCTATGACGCGTCTTTCCGTTCTATACATGGCCAGAACGCACCCATAGGAAACTGCTCGTGTATATTTTGGAGTGTCTCTTTGTAAGTCGGTCACTACAAACTATACACGAATTTTGCGTACTGATCGTGTATAGTTTGTGTCGTGGATGGATTCCGTCTTCGCTCCAAACTATACTACACCACTTACAGTTGACTAGAGTGTGTTTAGTTTATTTGATTTAATAAAATATGGAATTATATTTAAAATTATTACATTTATTAGATATTATGCTCGTGCTTTGTCCTCGAGATTAGAAATAAGAACTACCTATGTAGATCACGTACGGTGATGCCATTTTTAAATTCATTAATTTTTACATAAAATATTATTATTTTACTGAATCTACATATTATTATAATAAATCTAGATTTATAACACTAATGTAAGTGGTTTCTGAAATTAAATTGATTAGGTAGATTTCAAATTAAATAACAATTATTTATTAGTGAGAGTGAATGAAGAAAGTTAAACGTGCATTATTAACTAAAATTGTCGACCGTTCGGTGTAGTGGTTCGAAACGGATAACTGTTCCGGAGGTAGCGGGTTCGATTCCCGCACAGTACAAACATTAATTTGTGTGCATGAACATATTTTGATATTTGTTTGTATTGGACTGGGTGTCTTCTATGTATAATAAGTATGTATTTACAAAAAAAGTATTTAAGTATGTTTATATCCGTTATCTAGTACCCATAGTACAAGCTTTGCTTAGTTTGGGACTAGAAGCGCAGTGTAAAATGTCCAGGGATATTCATTTTTATTTATAAGCTTTTATCTCAAGAACAAAAATCATTTTCACATACATAATTCTTAATTTCAGAGTTATTCAGCCCCAAAACAAATATCTTTTCTATGGCAGAATATGAAACACCAAAAAGCTCTTTATCAAAACAATGGCACGTGTCGAAATTGATTCAATGTTTAAAGTAGACACGCAGTTATGAATTAATATGCAATAGAAAGAGAGGTAAATAAGTCAAAATGACGAGCATGCAACTAAGTACTCGCGTATACATTGTAATCGCGAACTTATTACAATACATACATGATTAGTCCGTATGCGTACTGACGATGTAATATTTTGGAGTAAGATAATTGACCTAAGTCACTACAAAGTATACGCGAGCAGTACGCAGCGTATGCGTACTGGTCGTGTATAGTTTGGAGGAGCTTAGTAAAAAAAGTCACATCCAAACTATACTCGATTAGTTTCACACCCTTGCGTTCTGGCTATGTATAGAATGGAAAGACGCGTCTATGACAGGGGTGGCCAACTTGAAAAGACATAAGATGTACTGTTTACTAATAAAACCCTGGGTGATCTACAACTTACATACTTCTTGAAATCTTTAATGAAACAGCATAGTTTAGTACACAAACATGTAGTATTTTTGGCCTTGCCACGATCGACTGGACTAATAGTCGCGATTATTGATGTGCCGTTCCCGAGAACGCTCTCCTCACTGAGAATATTCTCGGGAGCGCTCCCGGGAGCGTTCTCCTAAGTGAGAAAGGTTGAGAATCATGTTTATCAAATGGAAATAAACAAACTTTCTTAAGTAAAATAGTTTTAAATTAAGTCGACAGATAAGTGTATATTAAACAATACACTCTATTTGCAGAGAAAGGCTATATTCTCAGTGTTCCCGAGAATATTCTCGGGAACTTTCTCGGCAATATTCTCGGCAACTGTTCCTTTATTATATTTTATTTTTTTCGTCGTGAAATGTCGTTTTAATGATAACGTAAGATGACAGAAATTACTTTTCACATGCAATTAAATAATATAACTGTCAATTTTTTCGTTTTTAACACGCTTTTATTAGGTCGTCGTGTATGTAACTAACTATGTAATGGAATCTTAGAATCTGAATTACATGCATTTCTAAGTCTTGTATTATCATGAAACTTTATGCAGATTAGATGACAATACAATATTGTGGTACCAGCTGGTCTGATGATGGGACTGAAAGGTGACCAAAGGAACTCCTAAACGAAACGGTGGAATCACATCGAGTTTGGGTTCATTGGATTTGTCTTTTCAATATCTTTAAGTGCTAGATAATGTCCAGGGTCCTAATGATGGAGTCAGGAGGTGGTCATAGTAAGTTTGGGTTTGTTGGATTTGTCTTTTCGAGCACTTTAATGCTAGATGATGTCCAGGGTCCTGATGATTCCTGTTAGTAATTAAAAGCGTGTTTTTAGTTTTTTAAACTATTCTTTACATTTGACATTAAGGGCATATTTCACAATCGCTTAGTAAGGGCCTGTTTCGCCACTTCTGTATAAGTTGTGGATAACCTGTCTGACGGATCATTTGACACATTTTTATATAAAATACGTGCTAGCTAGATTGATCTTAGTCCGTACGAGATTAGAATGGTTCTCAAACAGCTGAAAAACAACAAGGCACCGTAATCACGGCTGAGTTTCTGGAAGCAGGTGGAACGCCGGTACTAAAGGCTTTTCAGAAGCTGTTTGATTCCGTCATCCTCAAGGGAATTACGCCTACGGCATGGCAAAGAAGTATGGTGATACTCCTCGTCAAAAAAGGCGACAAAACCTTGTTGAAGAATTATAGACCCATTTCGCTTCTGAGCCATATCTACAAGCTGTTTTTGATAGTCATTACGAATTGTCACGCTAGCAGGCTTGACAACTTTCAGCCCCCCGAACAAGCCGGTTTCTGAAAAGGCTTTAGTACCATAGACCATAATAATATACGCTACGGCAGATTATACGGAAGATCAAGGAGTATAATCAGCCACTTTGCGTTTGTGAACTATGAGAAAGCCTTCGATTCGATTGAGACATGGGCACTATGGGCAGTGCTGCAGTCTCTCCAACTGTGCCAAATTGACTATCGATACATTGAAGTGTTGAAAGGCTTGTACAAACACGCCATAGTAACAGTCCGTTTCAAGATCAGGACCCGAAACCTATCCTGTTGCAGCGAGGGGTGAGACAGGGAGACGTCATCACCACCGCCCTAGAAGATGTTTTCAAGCTTCTGGGCTGGAGCGGATTTAGCAGGAAGATCTAGGCACAATGCTCGATGGCCTCAATAGAGTCTCTCAACAAGTGGGTCTCAAAATGACCATGGACAAGATTTAAAAATCATGTCTAAAAACCGTGTTGCACCCACTCCTCTAAAAGTTGGAGACTCTACACTCGAAGTTGTTGACAACAATGTATACCTGGGACAAACAGTCCAGTTAGGTAGGTCCAACTTCGAAAAAAAAAGGTCAATCATCGAATCCAGCTCGGTTGGACAGCCTTCGGGAAGCTTCACGATATTTTCACGCGGCGTTTCCGTCGCGTCGCCGCTCCGCTTTGAATCCGCTTGAAATCCGCCAGAGTGGCAAGGGCCTTAAAACTCAGAGGCACACTCATGTTCAAATACCGTAGCCGAGTCCTAAAGCCGCGGTACGCGTTCGCCACGAAAAGAGTGAGCAAGACAGCAATATTTTACTCACACGTTTCATGCCTTGTTTATAACGACTAGTCTTAACGCCCAGTTAATAAAACATTGAAGCATTACAAATAATACCACATATAAACAACAAAATTAAAATTAAAACTAAATGTATTCTGTCGAGAACACTGAGAATATTCCCGGGAGCGTTCTCGGTTCTCGAGAATATTCTCACTGGGAATATTGCCGGGAACGAGAACTTTCTCAGCGGCACATCTCTAGTCGCGATCGACCGGTTGGCCACCCCTGGTCTATGATGATAGAATTTTACAAACAAACAATCAAATCTTTCCCCTTTATTTAAATAGTAGATGTAGTTAACAAGAAAAAGTACCTATAGAAAATAGGTGCACAACACATGCCTCTCATCTCAAATAATCTCTAAAAATACCCAAGATACAGATATTTGGACATCTTGTGACGTCACTAATCACACTGAAACACGTAGCACACCATACTATGTAGTTAGTATGGGTCGTGTCACGTGACGTCACGCTCAGCTTATTACAAACTTTGATATATCTCCCGACTTCAATACTTACTTGAGAGATCTCTTAAAACTTATGAATATTTCAACATTGTAATTTACAATCAATATAAACTTGGGAAACAGGGGCGTAGCTGCAGTCGTATCAATGATAAGGGACCCGTCTACGGTTCTTTTTAGGTTCAAAAATAACCTTTTTTACCCGACTGCGCCAGAAGGAAGGCTATGTTTTTTGGTACAGGGTCCGTCCAGTCAAGCTACGCTCAACATAGAATAGAATATTGGATTAAGTGGATGATATTTTACCTACTCTTAAAAATACCGTAGTTACCGGACATTATAAAACCTTAAATTCGAGTTATAATACCGAATAAAAACCTATATTAAAATGGACATCAATTACTGGATCTAGACTTGACTAGAAGAATTAAATTGTATTAATTAAAATATAGTATCTGTAATCATCTTAATTAACACCATAATGTTATCAATCTCAAAGAAAGCCAGAAAAAAAATAAAGTTATAAACTAAATAATATTTCAGGACTTCTCAATTTGGAAACAAAACATTACACTTTCGCCTAGAATATCAAAAATAACGACAGTATAAATTTTTAGTAGTACCAAAATACGTAGGTTTCTCTCCATAATAGTAAGTTTTAGTGAGCACGTAGAATCCCGTCCAATGACCCAAAGCTGCCCATCTTTGTCGCTCGCACGTAATTATGTTGCTGTCGCACTCGCACACTCACTGCGGGCGCGCGTCGCACAGTCGCGACAGCAATATAATTACGCGCGAGCGATAAGGATGGGTAGCTTGGGGTCATTGGACGGGATTCTACATGCTCACGGACCAGGCTTTAGTGTTTAATTAATACGCGTATAACTTGTCAGAATAATTTTGACTATAACTCCAAAAGTTAAACTTAAGGCCATGATTTCCCAAATTGTCGATATTTGACCGATTTTGTTTGCAGATAGCTTCTAAATGAAAAGATATTTTAGCAAACAAAAAATTGTACGAGTAAGTTAATGTCTTTAACTAGGGCGACAACTTTTCCAAAACACGATATTGCATAGTTTGTCCGATAAAAAAAAATCCCAAAGAAGTACGTCGACGGCTTTTTTGTTTTACTCTCATNTTGCTTAGTTTGAGACTAGAGTTTATTATTTATTTATTAACTACTAGCTGACCCGGCGAACTTTGTTCCGCCTTAATGGCAATAAATAACGGGATAAAAAGTATCCTATGTCCTTCTCCTGGCTCTAAACTACCTCCCTGACAATTTTCAGCTAAATCGGTTCAGCCGTTCTTGAGTTATAAGTGGAGTAACTAACACGACTTTCTTTTATAATATAGATAGATTTGAAGATTACGTAAACCGTCATCCAACTTACGGTTTGTTTTTACACTGTGGCGTCAACGCGTCGCGCGAGTGTCAGCGCGAGTGTCAGTGCGAGGTGTGCGGGGGCTGAGGTAAACAAATGCACGGCATCGAGGCGGTAAATCCTAGCCTTAACTAACATTAAAGCTTTAAAATTCTTCATGCTTTTCAAGATCAGTCTGAATTGCCGCGATATCATCCACGTAACCGAATGACTCGGGCTAGAAGTCTAGCCATCACAAAGCGCTTTTATCCAGATCCTCGTCAAAGCACGTCTGGGTTTCAGTGGAGTTGAAGCTTAATAGCACATCAGCTCTCAAGCTCGACCTAAATTCGGCGGTCTGAGTCTCAGTCGACGTCAAATTGATGCTACAGGGACTTGATGATACGCTGTCGAAGAGTCTATAGTTTGTTTTAGGCGAATCGTAAAGACAAACGCAGGTTTGGGTCTCTTTTATACTCAAATCTGGAGATTGGGTTTCCGATGTAATCGTTTCTTTGTTAGAACGACTCAAGCCAAACTCAAGAGGGAAGGTTTGAGTTTGAATATCGGATAGGGAGACTGTTTCTGAGAAAAATATGGATTCATCTTCGCTGTTCTGCGATTTTAGGGATAAAAGGTCTTCGAAAACAGTTTGCGTTGATATTTCGTCGGTTTTTGCTTCGTCGCTTTTGCCGGGAATATTCCAAAGCGAGACGTCATTTTTTATATTTTCCTCAGGTTTCAAGGTTTGAGTCGCGAAAGAGCGCTTTGGACTGTCACACATGTAGTTTTCAAGCCGCTCAGTTTCCACTTTAGCCTTTTTTGTTTCAGTCTCTATTTTGGCTTTTCGTTTATATGCTTTGCGGTCATTCTTATACTGTTTGTGTATTTCCGGGTGTCGCCGCATCAAATGTACCAGCAGTTTCTCGTTCAGATCATAATCCATGGGACAAACTGGACACGAATATTTCATGTTGCACGTACTTAGATGTCTGTTAAACTCAGAATCGGTCGTGAATCTGAGGCTGCAAACGTCGCAATGAAGTCGTTTGTTCTTGTGCACTTTATTATAATGTTGGTTCAGAAACTTCCTGCCGGAAAACCATTTATTTTCTTTAGTATTGCTGGCGTGGTAATTACAGTCTTTAAAAGCACAGTAGTACCGGAATTCGATCTCGAACGACTTTTCGTCTACATTATGGTATTTTGATAGATGATGGAGCAAATCGGGCTTTTTGAGAAACTTGTCGGTGCAACTGTAGGGACAGGAGAAGTATATCTTAGACTCAGTGTCCGCTGCAGTTATCATGATGATTAGTTGGTCTTCGCAGAGGATACAGGATATTGAGATGGGATCGGACTCCTGTTCCTCCGTTTCATCGGTTTTATTTTCAACCAATTCGACGATCGGTTCAGGCGATATAGACGATTCTTTTGTTTTTTTCTGTAACAAATTAATCATGGTAAGTGCTTTTTAGAAGCCTACTTACAAAAATAAATAAGTTTTCTAAGACTTGAAAATCTATTACATCTCGTGGGACTCGAACCCACTTTCTAAAGATTTGTTCTGTTCTATAGGGCAACGATTCTGCGGGCTATGTCAGTCACTCTGGTTCTCCTACGGATCTCGTCATTTCTGATTTGATTACGCAGGAAAACTCCGAGCATAGCACGCTCCATCGCCCTTTGAGTGAACCTTCTTATGAGGCACATTTTCAAGTGTATTTTATGCTGGGAACCTGCATTATTCCATCAAATCAGTGAAGTATTGTAGCCTTTGATATTAAACAGAAAACTTGTGCACTCTTTTTCACTCTTTACGATCATTCATTTTTAATTAATTCTTCTTCCTCGGTCCTTCTGATGAGGATCGCGACCACAGATAGTTCCTCCACAGACTGCGGTCATAAGCTGTGTGAACCGCATTATGCAAACTTTCGCCCACCGTCCGAGAGTTGGTCGGACACAGTAAGGAAGACGGTGGGTGGAAGTTTTATTTAATGAATTTTCAATTCACCTTCATGATGTCAATCAGCACGTTGTTCGAGTTGCGGCACTGTTCGCGGAAACTCTTGCACTTGTCCAGCAAGTCCTCACACGTGGTGCAGAGCAGCTGCGACAGGCCGTTGGATTGGTCCACCTGTGATACGAGTAGATAAGGTTGTATGGTAACTTTGAAGCTGTAATAATAATAATTTACCACAGAAATAGGGAAAGGGAAAGGGGAAGACCGCCTAAATGATGGACATATACGGCAGCAGGCTGGAGTGAATTGGATGCGTGTGGCCAGGGACAGAAGTCGGTGGAGGGTTGAAGAGGAGGCCTATGTTCGAAGGCGAACCCAAAGGCTGATATAGATAGATAGATATATTGACCATAGAAATTGGTACAAAAATACTATAATTATAGGGTCATATTAAAGTAAACATAATTATCTGTAGGCAAGTAGGCATATCTTTTAGATTCTAGCTTTCTAATAATGTAACGATGCATGTGAAATTATATGTTGTTGGTAAATCTTTAACAATAAATAAATAAACATTGTTCTGAACAACTTTCATTATAAAAGAAAAAATATGTACTTTTTTCTTTTGTGTTCTTTGTATTTCTAATCCAGGCATGTACTATGTACAGCAGCAGCAGCTATTTATTAACATTATGCAAAGAAAAAAAAGTCAGATAAAATCTGTCGTCAGACAGAGGTGGAAATACCTCAATAGGTGGGCATTAAGCAACATACCTTCTGATCTAATTACCTAACTTTTCTATTGCCAATAAAGAGCGTTTAGAGAGTTTCTACAGTCTGTTAAAAGTCTGCTAACCCTTGAAAAAGAGGCTGACAATAGTGACTGAGTTTCTTGCGCTGCTTCTTCTCAGCACTGGCCCATTTATTGTCCCGAAGCAGTGGTAGGGTTAATACTGGGACGTGTAAAAATGCTTTTTAAAAGCCTACTTGCATAAATAAATTAGTTTTATGAGTCATAGTTCGAGTCGTTCGTAGTTGTATACTTTGGCTTAGTACCACCATACCTGTACATTAGTGAACTTAAAGAAGTCCTCGGTAAGGCCCCACTCAACCATGTCCTTCATGACACCGGACTCCGCTAAGCAGCCCCGGCAGAGCACGGCATACTCTTCCAGAGGTTTTTCTAATTCCGCATATGGCGCTCCCATGTTGAAAATTGTAATACCACTTCAACCTATCGCAAAGTCAGTTCAAATCGTAGCACTGAACATTATGTAAAACTACAAATAAGTTTAAATTAAATATGAGATAGATTTCGGCAAAATTGGCAAGTTTTTCAGTCACGAGTTCACGACTTGCGAAAAACAGAGCCCCGATTACGGTATTTTTTAACGTCAACAATCCAGACACGCTTCTCGATTCTGCGATACGATTGGTCGTTCAACAGCGTACGTCAGCTGTTTTGACCAATCGTATTGCAGAATCAGAAACGCGTCTGGATTGTAGACGTTAAAAGTTACCGTAATCGGGGCTCAGGAAGAAAACTTTTCACATTTTGACAATCGGTAAATATTGACAAAACTTCACAAAGCGTTTGGTTCGTTAAGTAAAATGTAGTTTTGAGACTATTTTTCCCTCAAAATAGAAAAGAGTTGAAAATATTTCATTTAATATTAGAACTAAAAGAATGTTGAGTAATTTTTTAGCAGATGAAAATCACGAAAGCAATATACTTTTAATTTGTTCTGCTCTAACACTGCTATCGAAACGAAACGTATTCGTTTTCGTCCGAAAATCTGCCGCGTCCGGTTAGTTTGAAATTTTGGTCAGTAAGGTAATTTTTATTTATATTTGTGATAAATTGAATTAATAATTTAAAATATATACATTAAAATTAACTTTAATAATAATAATATCAGTGGTGATGAGTGTGAAACTAAAAATCAATGTTGCTAAATAAAAAAGGCTGTCAACAACTAAATACCACAAAATTTTAAACAAAGAACTAATCAGTTTGACAACTATTTGGCTCAGCAAAATTTACAAGAGTATGATTGTCGCTTAGAAAAGGTAATTATTTAATTATTACTCGTTAATTTCCAGCAAATATAGTTATAAATCTTCATAAATAAACACCGGCTTCGCCACCCGCGTGAAGTTGTCTGAATTTGGGAGTTCCTTTGATAGCTGCACGAACTTCAAAACGGTAGCCATTTGCGCCACGAAGGCTACGTTCGTCGTGTGTGTGAATTTGTGGAATTATAGGTTAGAGTGCTAATTTAAGAAAATATAAGTGCGTCAATACCGCCTGTAAAGGCATAGGGCACGACAAAGTATCGTTTTATGCCCTAAAAGCGCGGAGAGCGCGTCAAATGAGTAAGTACATTTTGCATAAGTTTGTACTGTGCCAGGATTTCTCGGGGAACTCTGGACACGTGCTAGATTTATTTTAATTTTTAGCACGATTTCATAGCTCCTGTCCTCGCTGGCGATTGCCTTTTGCGTGGTACTTTATGTCTATTACATATCCTGGAATATCCGGTGGTCTGCGTGGTTGAAATGTCGCTCAGTGCATTATTATTTCGATTCTAGGTGATCTATTTTTATGCTTGGCCTATGCACTTGTTCTTATTCAAATTTCGAAAATAAGTTTTTTGCGTTTGCCGCGTTGGATTCGTTTAAAAATAACCATACGTGGAAAGTGAGCCTGCAAAATAGAAAGTTGACGAAATTGAAATGTATTTGGGGTAATATTTTGTTGACATTAGATTTCATAATAATCAGTTTTTGGTGTGTTGACGTGTTTTTGAGGTGAATCGTGGTATTTTTCGGGTTAGATCATGGTTATTTCTGCATTTTACATTCATAGTCAGTCTTGTTTTTATGAAATTAGTGATGTTTGATCATTAGATTATTCACAATTTAATGTAGCTACCTATAATCATGACCATTATAGATAATCACTAATGACACTGGCAAATATTGGCCCAAAATTACTTAATTCTCCACATATTTCCCAAAATGCAAGTTGAAAGTAGAAATAACTAGGAAGACATACAATTTGTTGCGATACTGATTTGTGATCTGGTTGTGCAGAGTGACATAGTTTAGAAATATTCGCATATTAATCCAAAACGATTGTGTAAACTGGTAAAAATTCATGCATTCTTGCGATATTAACATTTGTACTCATGTTTTTTGTGGTTTTTTAAGGCTCAAATTGCAAATCAGCAAAAGTAATTTAACCATAATTTTATAGTGAAGAAAATTATTCCAAGGTATTTTTATTGTACACTAGCTTTTGACCCAGGATTTGCTTGTGTTAATTTCGGTCTACCACAAAACGTATATCCATCTTTATTCTATGGATAATCTAGAATTCGAAGAGTGATTGATTGTTTCTAATCGGTCAAGTAGTTTCAGAGCCTATTTGAAGAGTAGATTCAATAGATTGACAGCTTTTATAGCGCTAGCACGAAGGCTAGCAACTTCCAATAAGTTGTTAGTGTTAAATCTGCACTACATTACACCGAGTGACCCTATGGTGTCGTGCACCATGCATAGACAACTTTCCTATCACTCGTACATTATAAACTTATATTTTGCGGATTAGTTCTTTCAAATCAAGAAATTTTGCAATAATTAAGTTGCTTAGTTGGAAGAGTAGTCGCCCGGCAAGCGAAAGTTTGTGGGTTCAATTCCCGCCTTAGGCAGTTAGATTTTTCAAGTTGTTTATTTAAAAATAATTAACGATTTAAAATTTCTATTCCAGCAGCCGTGAACACCAGAAATGAAGATAGACACCAATTCACACACGACACAAAATAATATTACAAGAGTGCATATTTCTGACAACACTTCGCGTTGAGTTTGAAAGTAACCTCAAAAATCTTGACTAACATTAGTGCAATAAGGACAAAGTCAGTGGAACCATGAAAATACCGGAGACATCGGCTAACGTTGGAGCATATTATGGAAATGAGGAAAATGGACAGTGGCAGGTAAATATAATGTAGATTTTATCGATTATAGGGAAAGTGAACAGGTTATAACTGCTATGGTTAATTTAAAATTATCACTTCACGGGATTTATTGCAACAATATCTATTTTAACGGTAAATAAAATATTTACCTTACCGACGTTTCGGCTCTGTTGCACGAGTCATGATCGCGGGCAGACTGACCGACAATTTTATAGTAAAAATGCAACATAATCGTTTAAAATATTATATGGTTAATTTGTATGTGTATGTATGGCATTTAGTCCACCATTGTACTTGAGCAATCAAATTTAAAATGTGGAAAAAGAGAATCATTAATATGGTACAGCACAATAATGATTTGTCCAACGGTTGACCGACCACACCAACACCATAACTTGTCCAGGGGGTATTTTGGTTCAGCGAGGGTGAATTCTGGTTCAAAGAGGGAGCATTATTCAGAAAGTGAGCCTTCTTATTCAGAAGGGGAGCCTTCTTATTCAGAAGGGGAGCCTTCTTATTCAGAAGAGGTGCCTTCTTATTCAGAAGAGGAACATTCTGGTTCAGAGGGGGACCATTCTAGTTAAGAGAGGGAGCATTATTCAGAAGGTCAGCCTTCTTATTCATAAGGGGAGCCTTCTTATTCAGAAAGGGAGCATTCTGGTTCAGAGGGGGACCATTCCAGTTGAGAGAGTGAGCATTATTCAGAAGGTGAGCCTTCTTATTCAGAAGGGGAGCCTTCTTATTCAGAAGGGGAGCCTTCTTCTTCAGAAGGGGAGCCTTCTTATTCAGAAGAGGAGCCTTCTTATTCAGAAGGGGAGCCTTCTTATTCAGAAGAGGAACATTCTGGTTCAGAGGGGGACCATTCTAGTTGAGAGAGGGAGCCTTATTCAGAAGGGGAGCCTTCTTATTCAGAAGGGGAGCATTCTGGATCAGAAGTCCAGGTTTTTTCGTGTTTGGTCCAGGGCAAATTAGATAGAAGGGTGAGGGCAATTTGGTACAACCAAGGACTGGCAGATATACCTCCAACTGCCAAATTACAACATTGTTATCATAATTTTGTCGGCCGTTTGGTGTAGTGGTTCAGAACGGACTACTATGCTGAGAGGTACCGGGTTCGATTCCCGGCCGGGCAGAAATTGAAATGATGAATTTTAATATCTGTGACGGATCTGGGTGTTACTATGTATAATTTAATTTATGAGATATAAAACATTGATGTAGCTTAAATATTTACGAAGATACAGATGTGTCAGCTGGAGACATCGTACTCCAGCTCGCACATAGTTTTTTGATCGTGATTTTAACAGTATTTGAGCTAAAGTCTTGAAAATTCGAAAGCCTACTATTTGGATTCGACTGTAATTTTCGAGGTATAATACATTATCGTAGCATAAATATTTACGAAGATACAGATGTGTCAGCTGGGGACACGTGTCCTCAGCTTACACACAGAAAACAACTCATAGTTATGAGTATAGTATGTATCCGTTAAGCTAGCACCCATAACACAAGCATTAAGTTACTTACTTTGGGGCTCGCTGGCGCTGTGTGAAATTGTCCAAAGATTTATTTATTTGTATAAATAGGCGTTGTTTCTAAAACTTCCCACTTATTATCCGCAGCCAAACGGCGTGATAATCGACAGCGGCGTCGGCGGCGGCGTGGTGGGAAGCGGCGACGCCGGCGTGCACCGCCCGCCCGTCTATCCCATGCACATGCCGCGCCCGCATATCCCGGGTGAGTTTCTAGATAAGATTGTGAATGGTGGGAAATTATTTCCCACCAAAAACTGGGGGTTTTGAGGTGGGAAATAATTTCCCTCCACTCTTTTCTTATAAAATTCGAAATCTTCATTAAAAATATTGATCTCAGTTTTTATTTAACTCTTAAAATAATTTTCATTTCATTATTTTATCAGAAAAACCTATTCGTAAAAAATCTGTTTCGCACAATGTTATTTTCGGACTTACTATGCAAAAGGTCGCGGGTTCGATTCCCGCACAGACATTTTATGTGTATGAAATCTAATTGTATTTTCGCTGGTATTTTTTATGTATCTATTTACAACTTTTATAGCGCTAGCACGAAGGCTAGCAACTTCCAATAAGTTGTTAGTGTTAAATCTGCGCTACATTACATCGAGTGACCCTATGGTGTCGTGCACCATGCATAGACAACTTTCCTATCACTCGTACAACCCACTCAAAAGTCGAAGGATATATTTTGTTTAAACCACCAAAAACCAAACTAAAATCTTCCCTCACTGAAAATTGAATCCGGGTCTGAAGCAGGCGGTCTTTTTCTATACTAATATAAAGAGGGAAAGTTTGTGTTTGTAATAGTTTGTATATTGTTAAATTGTAAGGGGTAATCTCGGGATCTACTGAACCGATTTTAAAAATTCTTTCACCAATAGAAAGTCACATTATTGCTGAGTGTCATAGGTTATTTATGTATTGTAAAAAATCGAAAAATTCCACGCGGGCGAAGCCGCGGGCGGAAAGCTAGCTAAAGCCTGGTCCGTGAGCACGTAGAATCCCGTCCAATGACCCCAAGCTACCCATCCCTATCGCTCGCGCGTAATTATGTTGCTGTCGCGCTCGCACACTCACTGCGGGCGCCCGTCGCACAGTCGCGACAGCAATAGACGATGTCCAGGGTTCTGATGATGGCCTTTTAGTGCAGGAATCAAAAGCGTGTTTTTAGTTTTATAAACTACTAGCTGTGCCCGCGACTTCGTACGCGTGAAAACCCGTTTAAGCAACATTTTTCATTGTTGCTCTGCTCCTATTGATCGTAGCGTGATGTTGTATAGCCTATAGCCTTACTCGATAAATGGGCTATCTAACACTGAAAGAATTTTTCAAATCGGACCAGTAGTTCCTGAGATTAGCGCGTTCAAGTAAATAAACAAACTCTTCAGCTTTATAATATTAAGTATAGATTAATTTACTTATACGGTGTGTCCGGGCATGTAGTGATCAAACTTTAAGGGCGAAATCTAGGGACAATTTTATCGATAAAAATACTTCAAATTTGGGGCTTGACCCATTTATAGCAAAATTACAAGGCTTTAAGTTTTAATTTTTAGTTTTCACCTCTTCCTTCAAAAACAAGTGAAAGCGTTGGTAGCTTAACATTAATAAGCAAATATTTTATATCATGCGATAGCCAATAAAATTATCTTTTAGTAGAAGTAGAAAACAAAAATAAGTTTCATACATTTTATGGGAGTAAGAATGGATTTAATTTTGTCGGCAGCTGGCTACGTGATGGCGGGCGCCTTCTACCCGCCCGCGCCCTTTCCAGTAGCGGCGCCGCAGGACGACTTCGAGGACTACATGTGGATGGAAAATGAGGAAGAGTTCGATAAGCAGGTGCGTTTATTTAAATAAAACTGATTTATTTTTGCAAATAGGCTTTTAAAAAGCACTTTTACACGTCCCAATATTAACCCTACCACTGCTTCGGGACAATAAATGGGCCAGTGCTGAGAAGAAGCAGCGCAAGAAACTCAGACACTATTGTCAGCCTCCTTTTCAAGGGTTTACAGTCTTTAAAATATACAAATTATAAAATAAGAATGTGTAGCAAGTTCAGAGAAATGCTCCTGAATTAATATGTACATACCTACTAACGTTACTCTACTTATTTTACCGGCAGTTTTTTTTACCCGACTACGGCAAAGCAAAAGGAGGGTTATGATTTTGACAGGCTATGTATGTATGTACAGTCATGGAATGAAAAGGTTCGTCAGTCTTTAAATTGATTCCTTCAACGAATCGCGAGCACATATTACCTTTTGAAACTATGTTACAGAATAATCTCGAGTTAGAGAAAATAATCTTTAACTGTTCGTCAGTAAAGTTCAAAATTATTCAGATCAAAGTTGTTTGACGATTTATCTTGTCAAGAAGATTATTATGATTGATAAACTAAAACCTTCTTGTTGGTTCAACCTGCCACTATTATTTCTATTAAATAAAAAAAACTATTGTGAATTGGTCAATGTCATCATTGCATTGCACTGATGGGATAGAAAAATAAACAAGCAAAACCTTATTCGTTAGCAAACGTCATATTTATTTAAATGTTAGCAGCAATGTTTCTTGCACTGTTATGTTGGCAGGTTTGACTCTTACAGTACCTAGTGCAAGCGAAAACCGATACTAAGGTGACGAACCTTTTCATTCCGCGACTGTACATACCTACTAACGTTACTCTACTTATTTTACCGGCAGTTTTTTTTTAAATTAAATATCTGCAATCAGCCCAGCGGATTTAGGGGTCCTGCACACGACGCCGCTACCGCGCCGCCGCCGCGCCGTCGCCGCGCCGCTACACTGTTCATACGCACCGAGTAAAACGGTAGCGGCGTCGTGTGTAGAAGCGCTTAATCAGATTTAATGTTGATTGACATTCGACTTTTGGGGGGTGCACGTCCTGTGATGTGTCATCCCTGCTCTTTTTCTTTCCTGAGAAGTTTTCTATGGCAGGCATACCGGTAGAGAGTGGTGACTGAGTTTGTTGCGGCGTTTCTTCTCAGCATTTGCTAAATGTTGGGCTCGAAGCGCTGTTAGGGCAAAAAGGTTATGAAATAAAATCTGTACTTTTCGGGATACGTACGAGTAAAAAAGATGTGTTCAGTTGTAAGTTTCATTCGTAACTAATAACAAGAATGGGACGCGAATGCAGGCACAGGCTGTCCTGAAAATATTGTCAAGCTGAAGCCCAGATGTAGTGCATCAATAGGGCATAATGTTCGAGTTATTTTTTTTTTTAATAATAGACATAACAAGTCCAAATTTTTCATTGGTTTTGGACCGTATTATAAATTGAAAAATGGTGGTGGGAACTATATTCCCACTGCAGTAAAAAAAAGTTGTTTTTTTTGTCGGTGATATTTTTTGTCATTATCATTCAGCGATCAGCCATCAGCTTTTCTCAGATTTGTTTGAATTGGTAATAATGATAGTTCCGGCTCTGCACATCCCATCCCATGATATGTCACCTCGATTCTTTTACAATAAGGCCCAGAACAGACGGTGAAACGCAACTGCAACTTTCTGATGATTCTGATGAATGAAACTGAAACTGAAAGTTTCAAACTGGTCGCGTCATGTGAGATCTCTCAACGGTCGCTATGGCAGAAACTTAGATGCAACTCAAAAGTAACTAGCAGTTGCAGTTTCGTTGCAGTTGCGTTCACCGTCTGTTCTGGGCCTAACTCTTCATATTGATGCTATTCGCTTTCTCCTGAGCCTGAATGTCGGTGATATTTGATGATAATCGGCCGTCTGGTGTAGTGGTTCAGAACGGACTACTATGCCGAGAGGTCCCGGGTTCGATTCCCGGCCGGGCAGAAATTGAAATGATGAATTTTAATTTCTGTGACGGGTCTGGGTGTGACTATGTATAATATTTATGTATTTAAAAAAAAGTATATAAGTAGTATATCCGTTAAGCTAGCACCCATAACACAAGCATTAAGTTGCTTACTTTGGGGCTAGCTGGCGCTGTGTGAATTTGTCCAACGATTTATTTATTTTATTTATTTATTTAATCATTGTTTGCAGGTCATGCAGCAGTTGGAAGAGGAAGCCCTAATGGAGCAGTGCATCGAGGCGATGTTAGAAGACGAGCAAAGGGAGCGCGCGCGAGCGCCGCACGCGAGGCACAACCACGCGCGACCAGCGCCGCACACGTTAGTACTAATCTAATACACTGCATCAAATAAATCGCACCTCCCGCGACAAGCACTTATCAACAGTGTTGCCAACAGCTACCAAAGGCTCGTAGCTAGGAATTTAACAGAAAGTTGCTAGATTGAGTATTTTTTTCTCCCTAAAAAGTAGCTAGAAGTAGCTAAATTCCGAAATAAATAAAATACTAAAGAAATAAAACACTGCAGTTAATAAATCAGCTATAAACTTTAACCAACTTAACTTTAATACTGTGACTACTTAATTAACAAATAAAAGAAGACAATATTTTGATTATCTACCGAATATTATAATTATCTAATTATGTACGAAAAGAAGATGTAGAAGGTTCAGCTGCACATGATTTGGAATATTTTTCCATAGCACCCATTTTGTCAAGTACGGCTTTAGGAAAAACGTAATTGTGACAGCACTGGCCGCTTTTCCTGAGCGAATCTTTTATGCATAAAAAGAATTCAGAGTTATTAAACTCATTATATTCCTCTGTTTATTTTTTATTAAATTCATTTGGGAGAACAATCTTTCTACCTCAGCATTTCAATGCGGAAGTAAAAGACATGCTATAGCGAGTTCATGCACTTATGTCTTCAAATACTTTATAAAAATATATCATAATCAATAGTTGCTAGAAAAAGTAGCTAAAAAGTTTAGCTACAAATTAAAAAAAATTGTAGCTGCCTGACATCAAAAAGTTGCTAAATCTAGCTATAAAGTAGCTAAGTTGGCAAAACTGCTTATCAAACGTATGCATCCCCACTTCTCACTAACATTGGTATCATTTGAAAGCCTACACTCGCGAGCAAAAGTATGGAATCACTTACATGAAGTTGTTTCCACGCGATCTTGTGTACTAACGAATTTGTTAGGAACAAAAAAAGTGGCACCATTTTAAAGATTAAACTTTTATCTTTAAATTGATACCAAATTCATTTAAATCACACCAGTATTTAAAAAGATATCCCGGCTGATGTGAAGAAGTAACGAAAAAGACATGTATGAACTGTTTGATACGTCGCGAGTTGCGGCCTATTTATCCCCTATAAAAGCACGCGTTTTCGGATTTTTGCTTTCACAAGTTGATTCATACACATCTCCGCTTCTTTTGACACTTTACCTGGGATTCTACACCTTCAGAAGCAGCACAAATCGTTGCACTATTGCAAGAAGGCCTCAGCTAGCGGGCTGTCGCACGTCAGCGCCACATAAGCCAGTCCTGGGTTTCGAAAGTTTTAAGACGCTTTCGGGAGACTGGTGGCTTTACCCCGGGACCAAGTTCTGAACAGCGCCGGCGCACATCGCAGAGGGAAGACCGTTTTTTCATGTCAACATCTCTATGAAATCGTCATTTGACTGGAATCGACGTCCAGTAAGAGCTCAGAAATGTTCGTAGGATAGCTGTTAGCGAGTAGACAGTTTGTCTAAGACATAATCAATAGAATTTAACTCCAAAAAGGCCTGCCACAGGCTCGAAACTGACGGCAGGTCACCGATAAGCACGCTTTCAATTTGCTCGTACACATCTCGATGTTAAGTCGAGCAAGCCACCCCCATAAGCCACTGTTTCAGCCAACCAGCACTGCACAAATCGCTCCTCAGGCCGCCTATAAACCCGACCTCTTCAACTGCTGCCCTGCAAACACAGTTTGCATTCATCGGAGAACAGAACTCGCCTCCATTACTCGCCTTCCCATCGAGATGTGTACGAGCAAATTGAAAGGGTGCTTATCGGTGACCTGCCGTCAGTTTCGAGCCTGTGGCAGGCCTTTATGGAGTCAAATTCTATTGCTTATATCTTAGACGAACTGTCCACTCGCTAACAGCTATCTTACGAACATTTCTGAACTCTTGATGGACATCGATTCCAGTCAAATTACGATTTCATAGAGAGGTTGACATGAAAAAACGGTCTTCCCTCTGCGATGTGCACCGGCGCTGTTCAGAGCTTGGTCTCGGGATAAAGCCACTAGTCTCCCGAAAGCGTCTTGAAACTTTCGAAACCCAGGACTGGCTTATGTGGCACTGACGTGCGACAGCCCGCTGGCTGAGCCTTTCTTGCAATAGTGCAACGATTTGTGCTGCTTCTGAAGGTGTAGAATCCCAGGTAAAGTGTCAAAAGAAGCTGAGATGTGTATGAATCAACGTGTGAAAGCAAAAATCCGAAAACGCGTGCTTTTATAGGGGGTAAATACGCTGCAACTCGCGACGCATCAAACAGTTCATACATGTCTTTTTCGTTACTTCTTCACATCAGCCGGGATATCTTTTTAAATGCTGGTGTGATTTAAATGAATTTGATATCAATTTAAAGATAAAAGTTTAATATTTAAAATGGTGCCACTTTTTTTGTTACTAACAAATTCGTTAGTACACAAGTTCGCGTGGAAACAACTTCATGTGAGTGATTCCATAGTTTTGCTCGCGAGTGTAGTTCTAAACTTCATTTCATTAAAGGAAATATTTTTAACCCCAAAAATGTGTCTTTAGAAGGATCCAGAGTCACTTCTTCAAAAAATAGGTAGTTACGCTTGAGCCAACTTTTATGGCTATAAAACTGTTAAGTTGGGATTAACTGCTATCCATTTGTTAAAAAGGACACGTAAGATCATTATTTGGTTTTAAAACCACAAAACTGCTACTCTACTTGGTCCCAGAGGTGAGCCCCAAGTGAGGCCTTTTTTCATGACACATTTATGTGTTTTTATTTATTTATATATTTTAATGTGTTTTTCTTTAAGTTTATTTATTGGGCTTTCAAATAACATCAATATTGTTGGGTCACCATGATTGTGTCAGAAGAAAATCTTTAAAGTTCGCGTCGCGGAAGGTCCGATTTATTTGATGTTGAGTGTAGTTTATTCAGTACAGTTCTTTCCAGGACATTTATACACACCCCAAATATAGCTTGCCCTACCACCACTTCGGGACAACATATGGGCTGGTGCTGAGAAGTGACGGACGAGACTCAGTCACCTTTTTTCATTAGTTCATCGTCATCATCTCAGCCACAGGACGTCCGCTGCTGAAAATAGGTCTCTCCCAATGGTTTCCACATCGCCCGGTTGGTAGCGGCCTGCATCCAGCGCCTTCCTGCTTTATAAAGTCGTCTATCCACTTTATGGATGTCAACAAAGACCAAAAAATTACCAATTGATAACAATTGGTCACTATTATATGTCTATAGTCTGGTCTGCGAACACCTAGAATTTTGTCCAATGACCCCAAGCTACCCATCCTTATCGCTCGCGCGTAATTATGTTGCTGTCGCGCTCGCACACTCACTGCGGGCGCGCGTCGCACAGTCGCGACGGCAATATAATTACGCGCGAGCGATAAGGATGGGTAGCTTGGGGTCATTGGACAAAATTCTACGTGCTCACGGACCGAGCTTTAGAGGCGCAGTGTAAAATGTCCAAGGATATTTATTAATTTACTAACTTAAATCCCCTTATTTCAGAAGCAGCAACGGCCAAGCGTTATCCCTGGAAGAAACAGTGTCCCGATCAACACTCAACCCGTTGGCGGCCGAGTTTGTGCCCACGTTTGGGCGGAGGGAACCGCCGCCAGGTCAGTACCAGATTCGATGCCCGGTAGTGACAGTACAACACAAATAAACATTAATTAAAACTAAAAAAGATGAACACGGGTCTCAACACGGTCATTTTTATATGAGCTACATTGAATTCACGGCTTGACGTTTGACGTGTGACGTGGTGACAAGCAGACTTCTCTATTTTAGTTGAAATGTAACGCGAAAGTTAAAAATGTAAAACATTAATTAGTTTTAATTTTATTTCAATGAACTAAAATAGAAAAGACCAGCTTCGATGGAGTTCAATTCTCAGTGGTAACAGCAGAGCACAACTTTTGTATAAAAAAATAATTCTGGTTTAAAATCTCAGTTTTCAATCAATAAAAAAAATCTGGAATTCTAGTTGCTTGATCAGTTGTCCAAGCTCAAAAAAAAGTAATTATTAAGTGTCCTTAATTGCGTTTATGAGTTGGCAACACTGCTGAGCAATATAATCTTATTCGACAGTGACTGTGGTTCCACCCTCAGATAGTCCGTTTCTTCTAGAAAACATTAAATAAACGGCAAGCGAAAGGTCGTGGGTTCAATTCCCGCCTGAGGCAGTTCGATTTTTTCAAGTTGTTTATTTAAAACATGAAATGAGTGGTGAAACTTTTAATTTTAATCAAGAAATCACAAAGAAAAATATAATTACAGCCGAAGACAAACCAGAGACGCCGCCTGAGGCCGCTCCGTCCACAGAAGCCAGTCCGGCGGTCACGGAGGACACAACGGAACACACACAGAGCGCGGAGGAGAACACAGAAACACACACAGATGTTAAGACTGAAGGTTGGTGTCTAATCTGTGGCTTAAACCCTTTTACAGAGGTGGGAAGATAGTTCCCACCTATTTTAAACCTTAATCGCTTGTCTTAAGGTCCAAAAACAATTAAAATTTTGATTTTAATGACTGTTACAGGGTTAACCCTTTATACAGTAGTGGGAATATAATTCCCACCATATTTTGAACTTCATTCCCTTGTCAAACTGACAGAACGCATTCAGTATGACAAATGCTTTATAGTTCCAAAATACTGAACTGTCCTATCGATGACATTGACAGTGGGGCGCCACCGTCAATACCGGATCGCTGGTTCAGATTTTTGCCATGTTGGAAACCATATAGTTGAACGATGGTAGCCCCCCCTGTCATTGAGTTTGGTGGGACAGTTCAGCGTGGGTCATCTATACACCCGTATTCACAAACGATGTTTACTTCAGCGAAGCAGCAACGCTATGCGAAGTCAAACGCACAGCACGAATAGAGCTCAGATTGATTCGTGTGTGTTACTCCGTCACTCAAGTATAGTCTATGAATAGGTTTTTGAGACCCTGTGCGTCCACGCGCACTGTGAGACCTCATAGTAATGTTTGAATTCGGGTGTAAATCACGATAATGTATTCTTAACATAATTTTATAGCGCTAGCACGAAGGCTAGCAACTTCCAATAAGTTGTTAGTGTTAAATCTGCGCTACATTACACCGAGTGACCCTATGGTGTCGTGCACCATGCACAGACAACTTTCCTATCACTCGTACAAATGTTTCTGACAGTTCTGAATGTGAAATCTGGCACTGTAAGACTATACAGTTTCTTCTATCCAGGAACATGGTTAACTTGATAGAATTTGTGGATAATTCTATCCTACTTAATATTATAAAGGCGAAAGTTTGGATGTCTGGATGTTTGTTACTCTTTCACGCAAAAACTACTGAACGGATTTTGTTGAAACTTTACAGTATTATTGTTTGTAACCCAGATTAACATATATGCTATAATTTATGACGATATTGTGACAAATAAAGAAGAACGGTCATCTGTGACCCAGGCCCGACAGAAACGAGACATGCCTCAGTTTTTTTGTCATGTCTTAATTAGTTAAATTATATATTTTTTATATTCGAAATCTATGTATAACACCAAATTATTACCCTTTGTTTTTGTTCAGGCGTCATACAAAAACTAATACAAAATGCCTATTTATCACCAAAATTGGTAAATGTATGTACCTAAATAGCTGCTATGGAATGTATCTAGGTGACCTGGAGATACAGCCGGATTATACAGGGTGGAAACGAGAAGTTACAAAATCCAAAAATTCAATGTTACCAGCTTCCATAATCTGTAACCTATTATTGGTACCATTTGAAAGAGCTCGTGAAGCACTTTCAGAATCAGTAACTAGTTTTTCGATATCTTGTATAGTTTAGAAATAATCGAGTGAGATCACTTATCGTTCCATATGTATAACCATCCTGTATAATCCGGCTGTATCTCCAGGTCACCTAGATACATTCCATAGCAGCTGTAATAGACATTTAGGTACATACATTTACCAATTTTGGTGATAAATAGGCATTTTGTATTAGTTTTTGTATGACGCCTGAACAAAAACAAAGGGTAATAATTTGGTGTTATACATGGATTTCGAATATAAAAAATATATAATTTAACTAATTAAGACATGACAAAAAAACTGAGGTATGTCTCGTTTCTGTCGGGTCTGGGTTTTTTTTTGTATGGGGCGTGACCGTTCTTCTTTCAGTAAATAAATAAGACGTCTAAAAAGCGCCATCTATCGTCATTGGTTAAAATCTACAGCGCTGGACAAACTACTGTTTTTGACATTCGTAAATATTCATACCGTGAAACGCCATTTATCAATATGATATCTAACGGGGGTAAAACGAGGTCCACGCGTACGAAGTCGCGGGCGGCCGCTAGTAAGGAATAAGGCCTCCCTAACCCGTCTGGAGTATAGACCAAATTATTTGCCTCTGGTAAATTGGAGATTGCTCCTGCAGTGGAGACCAAATGACCTGATGATGAAGCACAAAAGATCCATATGGTCTGGTCAACTCATTTTACTTTATGCCAAGACTAGCGGCCGCCTGCGACTCGTACGCGTGGATCCCGTTTTACCCCCTTAGGCGTGGAAATCCTTTAATAGCGGATGCCTTCGTCATAACATCTACCTGCATGCCAAATTTCGCCCGAGCCGTCCAGTGGTTTGGGCTGTGCGTTGATAGATCACTATGTCAGTTAGTCAGTCAGTCACCTTTGTTTGAGTTATTTAGATGTTGACACCGAAGTTCAATGTTTTAATTTTTGCCCAACTTTTTCTCCCAGTTGCAGAGCCCACAACGCCGCCAACGCCCACAGCCGTTACAGAGGAAAGTCCGGACGACAAAAGGCCGAAGGAAGTCAAAAAAGACGCCAAGAAGGAAGCCAAGAAACCCGCCGCCAAGGTCGAAGTCAAGCCCAAGGTATGCAGTCTATGACACCATCACATCGCATAAACCTTTGTCACCTGTCATGCTGTCATCCGCTTTGCAATGGAGGGAAGTCGAACCTTAACTTCGAACTCCTATGTTCTTCTGATTAATTCCGTTGCGGGTCCAATTGCAGTTAACTTTCCCCCGGGACAAACTTGACCTTCACTGGTTGGGTTATTGGCGGTCAAGCTGTAGATCCTGGCTACACAGGAGTTGCAGTGGTCGAAAGGTGGGAATAGTCCCACCATCACATATTTTTGCCCTGGACTTCGTCCGTGGGCAATGGTTCTTTATGGAATAAGCTTATCCTGCTTTTGCTACAAGTTAGAGCGAGATAAAAAATGATGATCTACTAAACTGAAAACTGCAACAAAATGTGAGCAACAGTTTATTACTTGAATAATATCAATAGCCACGATAGCCGAACGGTGAAGGGGTCGGACTGGCCGACTCGTGATCCGGGGAACGCGGGTTCGAATCCCGCCGCCGCTCGACTATTGTGGTGAGCTCACTCGTGACACAAGTATAGTTTAGTACGAGGGCCTAACGGGACTATTAGCGACGGGACTTTAAATGACAGTAATCTTTAAAACAAGAACTTGTGATTGAAAATCTCTATAATAGGCTAAAGCCCGGTCTGTGAGCACGTAGAATTTTGTCAACATAATTACGCGCGAGCGATAAGGATGGGTAGCTTGGGGTCATTGGACAAAATTCTACGTGCTCGCAGACCAGACTTTAGTATCGTAAAGAATTTTTTTAGTCCGTCAATTTGAATATCGAAAAATATTGGACACGTATATTTTTCATTGTCAATACAAAGTTATGGTGCGTTGAAGTTCTGCGCGACGTCACAAAGTGCTGCACTTTTGAGCACTCATTTACGTCACGGGCCTTTTCTTCTCTTTACATTTTCATTAGTTTCAAAAAGTGAAAAATAAGTATCGAGTATTTTTTGATAACCTAACTGACGGACTAATTAAAACTCTTGCTTTTTTACCCAGGAAATATCCCTATAATACTTCTGTGTGTAACCTTAAGATTTTTCTGTGTAGGCAAAACCAGCGCCCGTCAAGTCGGAGCCCAAAGTAGCCGCCAAGAAGAAGGACGCACGCCCAGCGCGGAGCGAGCCTGCCCTCGACGCCACAGTGCCTACAGCGCCGACAACGCCGACAGTCACAGCTAACGCGACCACAGTGCCTACAGTGTCTGCGGTGCCGCCAGCGCCCGCGGAAGCACCTAAGGTAGGAGAAATTTGTCTAAAATGGGCCTACAACGCCTACAATGCCGACAACAAACGCAATGACAGTGTCTGCGGTGCCTACAGCGCCCGCGGAAGCAACTAAGGTAGGAAACACTTGTCTAGTCTCGCGACTACAGTGCCTACAGCGCCTACCACGCCGACAGTCACAGCTAACGCGACCACAGTGCCTACAGTGTCTGCGGTACCGCCAGCGCCCGCGGAAGCACCCAAGGTGACTAAAAATAAGATTAGAACGCCTACAGTGCATATGTCGGCATTGTAGCCGACAGAAAAGACCGCCATCAGTGCCTACAGTGCTTCCAGAAGCACTTAAGGTAGGAATAACTTGTCTACAATGGGCCTACAGTACCTACAGCGCCGACAACGCCGACAGTCACAGCTAACGCGACCACAGTGCCTACAGTGTCTGCGGTGCCGCCAGCGCCCGCGGAAGTACCTAAGGTAGGAAACACTTGTCTAAAATGGGCCTACAAAGCCTACAGTGCCGACAGAAAACAACGCCATCAGTGCCTAATGTCTGCGGTGCCTACAGCGCCCGCGGAAGTACCTAAGGTGACTAAAAATAAGATTAGAACGCCTACAGTGCCTACAACGCCGACAGTCACAGCTAACGCGACCACAGTGCCTACAGTGTCTGCGGTGCCGCCAGCGCCCGCGGAAGTACCTAAGGTGACTAAAAATAAGATTAGAACGCCTACAGTGCCTACAACGCCGACAGTCACAGCTAACGCGACCACAGTGCCTACAGTGCCTGCGGTACCGCCAGCGCCCGCGGAAACGCCTAAAGTGAGCAATATTTCTTTAAAATGGGCCTACAAAGCCTACAGTGCCGACAGAAAACAACGCCATCAGTGCCTAATGTCTGCGGTGCCTACAGCGCCTGCGGAAGCACCTAAGGTAACTTATTTGAAATGCGACTACAGTGCCTACAGCGCCTACCACGCCGACAGTCACAGCTAACGTGACCACAGTGCCTACAGTGTCTGCGGTACCACCAGCGCCCGCGGAAGCAACTAAGGTAGGAAACACTTGTCTATAATGGGCCTACAACGCCTACAGTGTCTACAGAATCAGTGAACTTCAGAAAAAATACACAAAGTATAGGGTTCAGTGACGGAGTCCTGTATCCTACAACGCCTACAGTCACTACAGCGTCGACATACATACATAAAACTCCGTTGTCTAGTACTCATGGTCCAAATAACGTTATAAAATGGCCAAGGTAGGGATGTTATGGATATGTAGTTTCGGTTATGGATACGGTTACGGATATAGGAATAATATTATACCGGTTACGGTTACGGATATTTTTTTATTTCGGATATCCGAAAGTTTCGGTTACGGTTACGGATATCCATAACATCCCTGGTCCAAGGCACGTTAAGCTAAACACTGGCTTCTTATATCCTTTAAATAAGGGGTGATTTTGTAACGATTCTATTCCAAAATATTCAATGTACCTTTCTATTCCAGCCTCAAGCACCATCAGTGGAAGAATCAACGCCAACTGGCCCCAAACCTATCAACTACGCCGCAGCAGCGCGCGCTACCAAACCCAAGAAGCCTTCAGCCCCCACTGCAGCCCCTCCTGCCCCCACCTCTGCCCCCCCTAAGGCAGAGAAGAAACCCACAGACAAACTAGACAGGAAAGAAAAGGCGAAATCGGAGAAGCCAGCGCCGAAACCAGAGAAAACTGTGCAGAGAAAAAACTCTACCAAGTGAGTAAGATCCTTCAGACCTTTGTTGAAACCTCGTTGATGATTCTACACGATATTTCTATGTGATTGGTATAAATATTGAAAGAAAAGAAAAAAAGATACGTTTATTACAAAACTAGCTTTCCGCCCGCGGCTTCGCTCGCGTGGAATTTTGTCTGTCACAGAAAAACAATATCGCGCGCGTATTTGCTCACCGTTTAGACCTACCCTGGACTACGACAAACATTTTAAAACCAAAATCAGCTCAATCGGCCCAGCCGTTCTCGAGTTTTAATCAGACTAACGAACATCAATTCATTTTGTCTGTCAGAAAAACTTTAGGGCCTGCGTCCCTGTTTCAAAAATCGGGATAAAAACTATCCTTTATTTTTATTTTATTTGATTTATAATATTAGTAGGGATATTTATTGGTTGAAAAGTCATAAGAAAGCGCTTTTACACGTCCCAGTATTAACCCTACCACTGCTTCAGGACAATAAATGGGCCAGTGCTGAGAAGAAGCAGCGCAAGAAACTCAGTCACTATTGTCAGCCATATTTTATTTCAGATTCAAATTCAAGCAATTTCAATACTTAAACCAATCACAATAGAGTGTAGATTCATAGCGAGTGTGATACGAGCGTCTGGGATGTATAAATATACAAAATAGTATGTAATAACATTCATACTGATTTTTTTAAATTCTTTCTCGAGTAAAATTTAAATAATTGTAATGATTAAAAATTGTGTATTATAAATAAAAAAAATATTACATAATATAACAAAAAAAAAACGGTAACTACATTTTAATGTTATGTGAATTGTAAGTTAAATATTTTAAATATAAAAATAGTTTTTCTCCACTGAAGTTTGTACCTCTTTACTGATCCATAGAGTTCAAATTTGATCAATTCAGGATCGGTTTAAATTTACTTGTTGTAATATAAACCTTACGGCCTTTAATTAAGAATTCATTTTGGAACGTCAGTGGGAAAAACCTTGCACACTTTAGGAAACATAGGGTGGTATTAAATTTTTACTTTAAACAGTAATAAGATGGAACTCAATAAGTTCAAAATGGTGAATTTTTTCTCATTCAAGTAGTTTTACTTTAAATATTGAACCTTAAGACAAGGTTCAAATGCCTTAAGAAGGTTACAAAAAATAATATCACCCTGTATCTAATATCTAGCCTAACCAGTAAGGCTGTCCATTTATCCTATCCTAGTTTTAATTAATTATTAAATGAATAAATGAAAAAAAAAAGTATTGTACATTTATGGTCTACTAAAAAATGTACATTAAAAAAAATGCACATATTATGGGTATTCCTTAGGTGTAATAGCAGAATGTTAGTGGTGTGTGAAAAGTATGTATATCTGTCTCTCTCACTCTAATAGAGACTGAGAGAGGCGGGTATAGTGTGTGGAAACTTTGCAGGGTAGGCCGTCTCTTTCTGGCGCATGTCAATTCAGCAATGACAGAAGGAGATGGAGTGTTTTACAATTTTAGGGGTCGCTGTCAAATGTTGACAGGATTCCTATTATTGCATTTAGTTTAACAGCAGATGGAAGGTGTATGGAATGTGATAGGATTTGGTTCTGACACACAATGTCAGCTGTCAAAATGTTGACGTGTCACTTTGACATTTAGAAGAAATTTAAAAATTGCCTAAAATACAATATGAATAATGTCAATTCGATTCAAAACAGTGCGGGCACTGTGTATAATATAGTTTTCTCTATCACTCGAGAAAAACTCGAGCGCGGCTATCTCTTTCACACAATAAAATTAAAGAAATATACATACAAAAGGAAAGTATACATAATTTTCACACGCCACCAACGGTATATAATATAAACATAAATATAGTGTGTTGTTTTTATTTTCGTCAGACGATCAGGGTTGCCAGGAGTGAAAAATTAATACCTTTTTGGTATAAAATTGTTTGTTTTTTATTATTATTAATATCATAACTCGTGTATCGGTCTTATTTTAGTGATTTTATATAGTTTAAGATGTAGACAACCTTTTAATGTCATGTAGGATGTATACGTTTTATTTTTTAGTTTTTAATAAATTCTTAGGTGTCGTTGGTGTTGCCATATACTATTAAAATCATTAAAATTCGAATTATTAGCATTTCCCCCTCTAACAATTAAGAATCTAAAGTCTTTATAAGCATGTAAGCCCTTTTAAGGGCATTTATACACGTCCCAAATATAGCTGGCCCTATCACCACTTGGTTCGAGTCTTAGGAGAATCTAAAAATATAGCAAACAAATATAATTTTGTCTTCAAATCAGTACATCAATGGGCACTATAATCCCATTTCTTCTGCTGTATTAAAGTATATCAAAATATATTTTTTAGTATATGAAACTGCTCAGTATAAAACAAATTCGCTGTCTGTCCCTATGTATGTTTAATCTTTAAAAGTACGCAACGGATTTTGTTGCGGTTTTTTTAATAGATAGTGATTCAAGAGGAAGGTTTTTAACAGATCACAGAAACTAAAGGGAGATGTGACAAGGGGGCGGGGCCGGTGTCGCAGCAATATGCCCAAAAACAGAACACATTGCTCGTGACAGCAATGATGACAGCAGCGACGTCATAATGTGAACAGTTTACATTGCTTGCGTAGTACTAAAGATTATTCGAACGTTGAGGACTGATACCGCAGTGGATAATGAGCACATATTTTGATTACTTGTGTGTGAATTTCTAGTTGGCATCTCTCTAAATCTCTATGGTTTTTAAGTATTGTACCTGTACGAAGCAGGGGCGGATAGTTATCAATAAATTAATAAAACATGGCAACACCAGCGAAAGTTTTGCTCATAATATCCCCAATACTGTTAAATTATAACGTATTTTAGTCACAATTTTATGCGGTAGTTACAAGCTATGTGTTAGCTCAAATTTTATTACGGCTCTGTCAAATTTAACGTGACATTTTGTAATAAGTGAAAATAATGTAATGCAGGTCATATGCATGTTTTTTTTATGCTGAACAAGGCAGGTATTTGACCGCAATCGCACCTGGTGTTAAGTGAGATGCTGTCTAGTACATACCTGCCATGTAAGTGCTTATTTACCTACTCTCGCCTTGAAAATATTTGTGAAGATGTTTGCAAAGATGAACGAATAGGCCTAGGCATGGAGAATCTTATTTGCAAAGTGTAAAACTTTGCCAAAAGATTTGTACATACATGTGTACAAAGTGTCACGTTGAATTTGACATTTTTAAAAGCAAAATAGGTTTGCCAATTGCACACTATAATCGCTTGTGAGGTCTTTACTCAATAATATTTAAGTGATCATTTTAACTATTCAATTATTTTAACCATACAGGCGTTAAGTTCATTGTTCGTTTTCAGACCTTAACACAAGGTAATATGGTTCAAAACATGTAATTTCCTTGTCGAAGGTTCTAAAGGGTTTTACCAACATCAGAAACTAAAAAGTATTTTAAATAAAGTTGTGAAACTCTAAATTTGACAGCTTACACTTCCGTACTCTAAAATACACTCAAACTCGAGCAGTATTTCGACTGATTACATTCTATTATAAATTGTAGGATTAAAATTGAGCATCATTTGGTAGTATGTGCTTAATTTTCCTTACGCAAATATCTCAAAGTAATTTTGACTGTACATTTATTGATTTGTCATAACTGTCAAGATTGTCACTTAAATCAGTGCGGTGTTGATACAATAATATCGTTATCACAAAAATAATATTTTAATTCCAACCGGTACTTCCTGAGATTAAAATTAATCATTCAAACTAATTTAGCTTTATAATACTGGTTTCTGTGGGCACTATGAGCATCAATTTTATGAGTTTCACAATACACAAACTGGGCCTTTGGTTTTGTCCGTATAGTACAAATTGCAAACAACTGGTAGACCTCATATAAAATTTGGCGTATATTTAGGATAATTTTTCTCTTGTATTCTCTGTATTTTTGGTGTGGAAGTCATTTGGCACGCGTTGGCAGTATCTTTCATAATTTTCTCATCATTTTTGGTTTAAATTGTTCGTATTATGTAAATAATAAGGTAAATAGTGAAATTTTTTGAAGTATTTTAACATTATTTTGATTTTATCATGATAGTATTCCAAAATTTTTAATTATTCGTGTATAAAAAGCATTTTCAGAACATTATTGAAGCATGCTTTTACATAAAAACGAAGTATTTTAGTATGATAATTGAAAAAACTATACTTTGATTTTTAATTGTGCTACATAGAAATGTAAATATTTACTTGAAAGCATTTTATGTATATTTAGCATATATAGTTATGTTGTTTCGTTCAAAATTCTTTATGTACATTGCTTTACGTCACTGCCGACCCTATATAAAAGGTGTATTTACATTGCAACATACATTTCACAAAAGCCCCGCGTAAGCCCCACGAAAGCTCCGCGAACGCCCCGCTGCAGTGTAAATACACCTTTAGACCACATGACTACACCTTTCCTGAAGTGCCTAAAAGTAAAAATAAATTAAAAAAAAGCTATTGATTCTGTTTCCCGGCTTTTAAAATATGACATAGTATAAATAGCGTTAGTATAACTAGTTGTATAAATTTATACTGTACAGTACCGTCCATATTATATTATATAACCCCCCACCCCCACCGTGTATGTCAGAACAAGATGGCGGACCGATACAATTAAAGATAATTAGTAATTACAGATTATTTCGATTTGTTGTTACGTGTTTTTTTGTTTTAGATAAGAAAATGTTATTGTGAGTTAATTTTAGGTGTAGACAAGGGTGTATACGGTCCGCCATCTTGTTTTATACAACCATTGTATATGAACTCGACGTAGGATTATACGTAGTGTATAGTTATGGACACTGGTGTAATTTTTTATAGTAATAGATGTGTCGCTTTTGGAGAGCATAGACAAGTAAATTGCAAGCTCACTGTGTGAAGAACACTTGAAAAACTCGACAGGTTGCTAGTGTGTCAGTCAGAGGTTCGAATCCCATATGGGTCAGTCGATTTTTTCAAGTTTCAAGCAATTTTGAATTGTTTAAAAAACAATTATTCGCATTTTTGACAATTTTTAATATTTCTAACAGTAATTACATAGTTACAGATTCATAGTATAGTAGATTTAATTTATTAAGTAAAATATTTACAAAAAATATAGTTGAATCGTAAAAAATAG